GGGGGGGCGTATATCGAAGATAGAGGCGGAGGGGGATCAACTGACCGAGGAGACTCAGGTAGCAGCGGCACTGCCACGTCAACGACCAGGAGCGGGATAATCATCCATGCCAGAGGGAATCGCCAGCGGAATTCCAGGTTTGAGTTGCGGATGCCGAAATTGATCCAGTAAGCAATGACGATGCCCAGATAGTTGGCAACAAAGACCAGGGAGAAGCTGGATCCTCGGTCGTGGGACTGGGATAGCTCGCTGACCCAGGGCAGGATGATGGCATTCATGAAGCCAATGCCAATGCCGGCAATGACACGCGCGCAGATGAACATGCTGGCATTCTGGCTGCCGGCCATCAATGCCGCACCGAGGATTCCGAAGGCGGTTCCCACGAGGACGCCGCCTTTGCGTCCTATCTTGTCACCAACCCATCCTGTTGTCGTGAAATTAGCAATCCTTCCGCTTCCCCATCTCCCCTCGACTTTTTGGACAAAAGTTCTCTCTCCGGAGGGTTGTAATCGTACCACCGATGAAGCATCCCCACATCCCCCCGAAATAATAAGCTGCGGCAAGCCCGCCTTGTTTAGTGGTGTTGGTTACGACCCCATCGTGGCCGATATCTGCCATCTTGATGAAGCCTGGCGTGGCGCTAACGGTCCCAAGGACACCCTGATTATAGCCTTCAATTGAGCGAGATCTCGTTAGCATGGACTTGGACTTGGATCAATGCTACCACGAGGACTAGACCTAGACTCGGATGGGGAAGTTGGGCTCGGCGCGTCCAGCGGCGAAGAATCAAATCAATCCTCCTTACCTTCGAAAATCAGGGCCGTTGCCGCGACCAGATTGATGAGGAACAGCAGCACCTTTCCCGGGACATGGCGCCAAATCTGTAGACCCGCCATCGAAGCGGCGGCAGCTTCGTGCTAGTTCGCGTTGTAGTGTGTTAATTAAACAACCGGAGGCAAAACTGGCGGTTGACGATCTGGACTCAAGCTTGGACACTAAATCAAGGGGTATAAAAAGGAATAAGAAAAAAAATCGGGCACGGGAGGAATTTGGGGGCGCTTAAAGAGGGAATTCAAAAAAGGCGGTCTCTGACCCCATGGGCCAAGAGAGACGCGAACGTCTGATACGGCCTGTCACCTGTCACGCAGCTTTCCCCAAGGTTCTGGTGATGAAATCAAAGCGAGTGCTACGTCGTTTGTGATGAGCCAACAGCTCGAACCAACAACCACACTTCGCTCCGTTTCCCGCTGTGCCCGTCAGAACCAAGAAGAGACGGCCGTCTGTCTTCCTAGCCGTGGCGAGAGGGTGTCCCTAGACGAGCGTTAGTCTCGTAACGTAACGGAGCCCAAGATGGACCCCCTTCCCCGATACGATACGATACGCGTTGTCCGGAATAAACTCTTGGGTTTCCCAGGGTGAGGCTCCAGGCGGGGGACGCGCCGACGGAACGTGAATCTTATGCCGGCTAAAGCGGTGCCTAAACGTTTAAAAAGATTTATGCATTGGGGGGTGGCGATTCCTGGCTGGCCGGTTTTGGGAAGCGGCCGTTTAGCCGGTGTGAAGCGTTTTGACGGAGGCGTTTGCGTGAAGGGGGGGTGTATCTTTGGTCTCATCGGGCACATCTCGCGCACACAGTTGGTCTGTGGCCTCAAGATTATGTCGTTTAACAGCCTGTGATTATCGGGGGGTCTCCTGGATTCGTGCTCCTAAAGGCTAGGTGAATGACTCGGTTCCAAGTCGTTATAGTGCAATAAAGACTAGCCGACTCTCTTTGAATCCGGGCCAACGGTTTGGGCACTTCTTCTCCTTGGGCAGAATTCGCTCTCTTCTACTTTGTCTCTTAGACAGATTCCAACGCATCTCCTTTCGTTATACTTGGAGAAACAAGACAGATCAACATGGGTTCCGCCAATGGTGTCATCTATGGCGGGGAATCGCCGCTCGATATGACCGTCCTTGGGCTGAATTCGGGCACGTCAATGGATGGAATTGATTGCGCTCTCTGCCGATTCAGGCAGGCATCTCCTGACGAGCCGATGCACTTTGAACTGCTCAAGTATGACGAGATCCCCCTTGAGCCGAAGATCAAGAAGAGAGTCATGAACATGATTCTTCACAACACGACGACGCCACAGGAGCTATCAGAGGTCAATGTCATTCTCGGAGAAACGTTTGCGGATGCAGTCAAGGCTTTTGGAGAGAAACACGGTGTCCCGTTGTCGTCTATCGATGTTGTCGGCTCGCACGGGCAGACCATCTGGCTGGAGAGCATGCCCCAGGACGGGCACAAGCAGTCTGCCCTCACCATGGCCGAGGGAACGTTTATTGCATCGCTTACCGGCATCACAACCGTGACGGATTTCCGGGTGTCAGACCAAGCGGCTGGTCGCCAGGGCGCCCCCCTGATTGCCTTTTTCGACTCCTTGGTGCTCCACCATCCGACAAAGCTCAGGGCGTGCCAGAACATCGGCGGCATTGCCAACGTGTGCTTCATCCCTCCGGACTCCAACGGCCAACTAAACGATGAATTCTTTGACTTTGACACCGGCCCAGGCAATGTCTTCATCGACGCTGCTGTGCGTTACTTTACCAATGGAGAGCGGGAGTATGACAAGGATGGAGAGATGGGCAAGATCGGCAAGGTGAACCAGGAGATGGTGGACGAATTTCTCACGACACACTTTTACTTTGCTCTCGAGCCACCAAAGACGACGGGCCGAGAGGTCTTCCGCGACACTATTGCGCACGAGCTGATTGAGCGTGGTGTCGCGGCGGGCATGTCACCTGAAGATATCGTGGCTACCATCACCAGAATTACGGCACAGGCCATTGTTGAACACTACAGACGATATATGCCAACGCAATACGGGCCGTTGGCAGAGGTGTACATGTGCGGAGGTGGAGCCAAGAACCCCAACATCCTTGACCATCTTAAGGAGTCGTTCCCGGAGACCAAGTTTGTCATGTTGGACGAGGCGGGCATTCCGGCGGACGCAAAGGAGGCCATCACTTTTGCGTGGCAGGGGATGGAGGCTGTGGTCGGTCGAAGCATCCCGGTTCCGTCTCGAGTCGAAACGAGGCGAGGTTATGTGCTGGGAAAGGTCAGCCCCGGAGCCAACTACAGGCGGGTGATGAGGAAGGGCATCGACTTTGGAGCGGGGCATGAGCATCTTGATCCCGTAAGGGAGCTGGTCAATTACGTTGACGGCAGCGTATACAACAACAAGATCTGAAACCGGACGGACAACTGGCACCTGGATGGGTGTAGGGGAGGGGTAGGAGGACAAGTGCGATGTTACCTCTGCGGTATTCCCGGATTATGCGGATCCTGGAATGTTTTTCCTAACTGAACGGGGATAAAGGATCGGGGGGAAAAGAAAGGAAGACAAAAAAATATAGAAAAGGGTGAGGAAAATACATACTAAAGGCGGCTAGTTCATGACATTTTGGCGACTTGGAGAAGGCTGGGTAGGAGGCACGACGGACTCGGGGCGGGCGATGCAACAAGGGGACGGCGTTTATGCGCTTTATGCGCGAGTGGTATGTGTGTATACATTATGTATCTCTTCCGGGGGCACTGGGCAATGGGCATTGGATACGCGTACTCCGTATACATGCGAGGTGTTTGGTAGCATGGTGAATCCGGCGCAGGTTGAGGGGGCAATAAAGTAAAGGACGTTGATCTGTTCATTCGGTATAATTTGTCCCACCACCCATCATGAAGTTTCATCACAGCCACTGCCCGATGTCACTCACGAGGCATACTCTGCGGGCCTTTACAAATGAGTTTTGTACCTCAACCTCCCCGTGTAAGTAAGCGGCGTCTGTCTAGAGTTGGTTGGTCACTCACGCACACGCCTCTCTCCCACCGGACTGGGACGCTGCAGGTGTGAGAATGGAGCACACGACGAAGGGACCAGGTCGAGAAGGGCCCAGACCATGATATGACTGGTGGCCGTGCTGTGGTTGGTGTGTAATGCTGAAGCCGTTTTGCCGTGTTTGCTACTTTGATGTTGCATTTGTGGCTGTCTGGCTGGTAGATGGATATAGTATCGTGGAGGAGACTTTTATTGGTAATTGTCCATTAGCCATTTTGCCGTTGAAGAGGCGATCTTCGCTCTTGTTGATCATCGGTGATTATTCGATCTTCTCTATTCCTTTCCTTGATGGGTGACACTATCTCAAATGAGTATGTAGTTTCTTCCCCTATAGTAAACACGGCTCGTGCAGTATGCATCACAAGACTCGTTGATTTCCAAAGCGGAATTATCAATGTAGTTGCCGTATAATGTAACCTTCGGTGGGTAAAGGGGGTGGATGACATTATGCTGTATAGAAGTCGCGAGGACTGATATTATGATCTACAGGTCGCCTTCCCCCCTCTACCCTCTTCTAATGTTTTTGATCCACGCCCATTTGATTAACATTTATGCTGCGTTGTTCCAAAAAACGTTTACAGATTATGCATACAAGTACCGCCTCTTCCCCCTTGACGTTCACTTGGTGGTCGCAAAGAAGCGGCAAAGGGTGCGAAATTGCTCGAGTCATCTTCCATAGAGAAACTTATTTACTTCGGTTAACATGTAGCTCCTCAGTAGACTGATATGCTGAATCAAGTTATGCCATGCAGTGTGGCCGGCCCCCTTATCTTGAGTCATGAGTGGAGGTCCTACCACCTACTCTAGCTGCAACTTGATACTTTTTGTCCAGACTTTTCAGGGGGGCCAACGGCAGAACGGAAGATTGCTATCTGTGACTCAACTGAGGCACTTAGACACATGTTTGCATGTCTCGCTTGTCCTAGAAAGGACAAGAGATTCATAATCTTCAGCTTCATCGCTTGTCCTCATGCAGGGGAAGCTCCCACTCAGCATAAGGGGGTGTCGCAATCTCATGCAGCCGTCTATAGTTACACCTCACTGTAGTATTTGTGAATGTAGTGTGTATGTGCTACTTTTACGTTTATCCTTTTTTACCATTTATCCAAAGAATGGCCGTGCCGTATATTCCGGATAGTTGGAAGCAAACTAGTAGGCAGTAGCTGCAAGATGATAAACCACGCACAACCTAAAGAATGTGGCACTCTGCATGTGGTCTTACTTCAACCTCTTGAAAAAGAAGAAGTTCGGGGATGCGTTGGAGAAATGTCCCTATTATAACTACAATGGGCAGGGGGAGTGTTTGTTGGGTGGTCATATGAACATTTGAAGTGAGACCTAATTTGACTCCTGGTGTGACTATTCGTGATGACCGGACATGTGATATCTCTGGAAATAGATCCATACCAAAAAAGCAACCTGATGGGTGTTAAGAAGGCGGACTAGAGTACCATAAGTCTATTGGAGCACGGTTAAATACTCTCCTCCTTTGCATCGTTCTACGTTTCTTCGTTGGCCTTACTATTGTACAAATTACCAGATTACTAGATACCCTGCAGAGATGTGAGTTCACCAAGAAGTTGGCCGGCTCTAAGCCACTCTTAGGATTACCAGTGGAGAACATGCTATCAGAAGTGGAAACGAGAAGAAATCCATCCTTGACTAGCAGCGAATTGCACACATGTACGTATATGTACCTTAGGGAGAGACCGTTTGGATCACGTATGCATCTTCTCATGGGTTCCCGTTATTGGCAGGTTCCCTAGTAACATCATATCATCTCTCTGAATTCTTCCTCTGATATAATACGCAAATGAGTATTGATGATTGCCTTATATTCGCGCTCGGAAACTAAATTCCTTCCAGCCCTGTCTTTTTGGCTTCTCTCTCTTTCCTCATATTTACCGTTTTAATTGATGAAATGTATTCACTACCTCTCCCGAAGTGATATGGAGGTTACAATCATTTATTGGTTGATCCAGCTTCTCTTGGTGGAAGGCCGAGCGGAATATGTCCTAGACACATCATTACCACCATAGAGGGGGGTTAAGTCTAAGTGCATCCTACTGATTCTGTTTTCTCACTGGCCTCTACCCAATCGCCTGTTGACATTGTTCCTCGCTTGTAATTGATTATACGGAAACTTTACAAGTACGATATGCTCTACCAGGTTTTCATCTACGTTGATTACGGGTATATTAAAATCTCTTGCTAGCGGTTCGCGTGAACAAGAAGCAACTTGAAGGTTGGATAGGAGCCGGTATTTTCCTCACACTCATCGCGTAGATACAACTGCCAAGGATGATGTGCTTGATTTTTGATGTATAGCAGATATTTTGTTCCAAGAGAGTTATGAGGCAACCAGTTGGTGCGGTAGCTCGCTGAATTGGAAATTAAGGGCTTATTCTCTCTCTTTCCACACAGTAAAGAAGAAGTCCAATACGTTGTACGATACAATTGTTGTACATAAAGTACTTCTGGTTGATGCTCTGTTCACTCACATCTTTTTATTTTAATTATCAACTTCCCCTCTGGCTGGTCTCTTGGTGTCTGGCCACGCCAATGCATGCTGACAACCATTATCATGGCTTGATGGACCCCTAGGCGTGTATGTACTGGGAGTTTCCCCATTTGGCTGCTAGCTGTTTACTGATTGACGGGTTTCCATCTTGGCTGCTGTCTCACCATGGTCAGCCACCATGACCATCTTTGGATAGTTGTTTTCAGCTCTGTGGTATTGCTTATCGTGCGTATATCTGTGCTGTCTTGTCTGTGTATGGGAAGACGCTAGTGGCAAGTATTTGTCGATGTTATTTTTTTGCCTTCGCTTGTTGTGGCGGTTCCAGGATATGTCGGCACATATCCGCTTAAGTTCCCATTCCTATAATAATATACGAGCTTTGCCCCCAGCTTTTTGTCAGCTTAATTTCTATGTGAACTGGAAGAGAACCGGCGGATTGTACTGTAGCAACAGGGTAGATATGAGTTGCGTGGGGGTTTACGATCTCGATGGGTGTGGGGTCTGAAATGCTGTCGGGTGACTGGTTGTTCTACTCAGCGTATTCGCTCCGTGCATATATACGACCTATCAATATGTCGCTGATTGTGGTAGAGATGAAGGATGCAAGATAAGAATGGCTACAGGCTTTGTATTAGGCTCCCGGCGCAGCTTCATGCTGTATATGGTAGATTGAAGATGTGTTAATGTGTATGTGTATATCATCGATAGATCACAACGAAAGGATATGCGTATCAGATGCGAAGAGATTTGCAACCTTCGTTTTAAGTTCTGTTTATGCGATATAGTCTGCGCCATAATTGAGAATGAACCCATGTATTATGTACGCGTTGAAAGCCCGTCAAAAATGCATACCGAATGTGTTGATACTTATTGCTATTTGTTCAAGAAAACTAGACTTCAACAAAGGAAAAGTTCTTTCGAGCGCTCGTTATCGATCCTGGATAGAATGAGACTGCGGCGGATTCCAAGCAAAGATGCAAACCGAGATGCTTACATGTATCCACCTGGTAGAGCTGCTGGAATGGGATCATTAAGCTACGATTCATTTACGTATAGTTTCAGGTACCATGCTAACCTGATAATAACGGCGTGAAGTTATCTCAAGCTTGAATAGTAGTTTCAGCATGAAAGATCCTGAATTAAACATCTGACGGGCCCTTTCAGCTCCACCCTGTCAGCGGCCTTGAGATGGAATATTCCGCTCTTCCAAGGCATTTCCCGTCCTCTAGCGGAGTCGGCCCTCAGCACTAGATTGGTACAAAGTGCAAAGCTGTTGGAATGATTGGACATCAAGTGCCGCCTCACTCTCCTGTCCGTGGCAGAGCGGAACAGGATCCTTTGCTCCGCTCTAGTTATAAATCACAAAGATGAACACGTGCGGCGGAGAAGTTCCAAGTATGTGCTCCGTAAAATACTCATGAATGGTTTCAGGCCTTGAAATGATGATGCTCTATTCGGAAGTCGCTGCGAGGTGGGGAAGGATGAATAAGACTGAGAGCGACAGCCCGGCCTTAAAGAGCTAAAGACCGATTGAAGGATCAATGGCTGGACGTGGACTGTATTTTCCGTACTGGCACCAACTACTATTTATTTAGCTTTCAAGTAGACTCGATTCAAGTTTGTGTCTACTGTCCTATGTCATCATCAGTCTGACACTATCAACGCAAGGTCAAAGACAACATTGAACACACTATTATCTGGCCCGTTCAAACTGCCTCGATACCCCACGATAGCATCTTATAATGGCTACCATTGCAAAAACCGTCGTCGCCACTGGCGCATCTTCAGGCCTTGTAAGTGGAGTGATCCGTCAATGCATGCATTAAGCCTTGACTTGTCCGCTAACTGACTCAACTCCAGGGCTTTGAAGCCATCAAGCAGCTGCTCCTCCAACAAACTCAGCCATACAAAGTCATCCTTGGTGCCCGAAACACGAAGAGCACCATTGCTGCCTTTGATGCTTTGGCATATGACCGCTCTGGCCACGCCGTAACCGTCTTGCCACTGGAACTCTCAGATGTGAGGACAGTCAAGTCTTTTTCGCAGCAGGCGCTGGAAAAGATTGGAGGTGATAAGATCGATTACTTGTTGTTGAATGCAGCCATCACCAATGGCGCGGAGAAGCCTGGCCCCAAGGGGTGGCGATGGTGCGAGTCGGTGGTGGTGAACCATTTCTGTGAGTTCATGTTCAGCTGCCAGTAGTTTTAGTAGTGGCTAATGAATGCATAGCACAACACTACCTTACTCATCTACTGAGAGAGAAGCTTGTCGAGTCAAGGTCTCGCATCGTCTTTGTCTCTTCTGGAGCAATCCGTCGCATAACTGACCCCAGTAAGTGAATAACTCCACCCTTGAAGCTCATACTATGTCTCATCATCTCCCATACTCACCTTTACTGTTTCCCATAGGTGTCCTTGATGAGATGTTGAAGAGCGCCTCGGGTGCGGATGGCATGAATGTCTACTGTGCCACCAAATTCGTTCAGCTTCTCAATGCTCACTGGTGGCGCCGTCAACTGGCCGGCCAGTGCGACGTTGTCGCTGTTTCACCTGGCTTGATTCCAAACACTGGCCTTAGCCGAGGCAATGGACTGAAGCTCTCCATGGATATGCCGGATGCAAAATCCGTTGAAACAGGTACATTTACTTTTTTGTTGTATAGTTGATACTGAGAACGAAAGCTAATACGATGTGATAGGCGCACAAAGCATCCTGGCTGCATTCACTCGATCCGACTTCCCAAGTGATCCGGATCAGATCTTCTTGACAAGCTGGGGAGATTGGTGGGGGAAGGATACCATTGAGCAGTCTCTTGACAAAAGCCTGCAAGATAAGTGGAGTTGGAGCAAAGAAGAAATCGAGAAGGAAGTTGGAATCACTGCGTGAAGTATGGCGGAGGTAAATGCCTGCATGGTACAAATCTAGGCTGTAGTTAAGGCATTTATAAAATGGAACACAAAGTCACACGGTGCCGGAAGCAGGAGAAAGGGAGGGACGGCTCTCACCGACTGATCCTACATTCACTGTTATTGTTTCACAAGCCTCTGTGATTCACTTCAAATCGCCTACATATTAAGCCATACTTTCCACCTCGAGAAAAAGACCCAAACCACTTCAAACTGAACCTGCTGCTACACAAGCTTCTATCGAGCTGTGCGTGAAGGTAGAATGACGACTCACTCTTTACCCCTTGCTTATTGAAACGCTAATACCATAGCAGACACGATGTGCAAGTTTCGAATCTCCGTCACTCTTTGCGCCTGCCAAGATCCAGCTTGCAGAAAGAAATCAGATGTCTTTGGTCAACTTGACAGTGAAGTAATGCAGAAGAACGGTGGTCATATTCTCTGGATAGGCACATATCTCAGAGAAGGTCCCATGTGCTTGGATTACTTCACAAACGAAGATCCCAATCGGCTGGTGGTACGATACGGCATGGATAGGAACAATGGAAACAGTAAGCAGGATTGCAAGAATCGCATCTTCATTATCGACCCAAACATCAAAAGATGCTTCATGATGTGCGATCCGTGCAAGGATCTCTGTGATCTTGGCCCACCATCGCCATGTTCTACCAAGAGTCAGGAATTTCGTCCGGTCAACGAGTCCAAATAAGAAAAGGCCTCTAGAGACGGTCAGAATTGGCTATAGGGCAGGAGGAAATGTCTACGAGATCATATGGCGCAAATGGACAGACCTCACAATGGATGGAATAGGTTAAGTGAAGGGACATATATAAATCTGGACTAGTATTGCCATTAGGCATTTGTAAACTATGTCTATGCATTCAACCGAATGGCGTGAAGAAACCTGGCTTTAAAAAGAACCTTATTCAAACGTAATTTTATTACGTAGAAGAGAACGAAGATAAATGAACAAAAGAAAACTCAATGCGAAGAAAAAATAAAGAAAAGAACAACCACAATAAATATCGCCTTATGCTTTAGACCCCTAGTGTATGCATACGCCGAATCGTACCCTCACGCTGAACATTGTCAAACGCGTCTTCCGATGAACGAATAAAGCCAATCTTCCTGAGATATCTCACATTACTCTCGACGGCCGTAATGGACTGTTCACACTCAGGAGTGCCGGCATTTGACAATTGTACAATGGTTGGCGGTAAGCCAAGCTGGCCAAGGAAGTGTTGTACAGGCCACAATGGATGTTTGTTACCAACTCTGTTCATAGATGCTAATGCGATTTCGATCCATTCCTGCCAGGAGATTGGTTTGCATGGGACTTCTAGTCCAGAATTGACGCGATCCCAGAAGACAGACATGGGCATGCCACTTGCAAGCATAGAGAATGGGTTAATTTCATCATCGAAGAGCTTGTTCAGAACATTTGACGCAACTATGCCCACGTCTTGCATAACCATCCAGTGTTCTGATGGTTCCTCTGGGTAAGCATGGATTGATGCTGCTGTAGAGACCACGCGCCAGACAAAGTCATCGACGTTGGCGACACCGTGCTCTGCCGTCCCGATAATACGTCCGGGTTTGACAGTTGACACTCGGTTTTGATTGATGGGGAGACTTCTGGCGATGTTCGAAATAACAGATTCACAGACGAACTTGGTTTGAGAGTAGCCATTGACGCCTTTGAGGAGTGCTGATGACACGGCTTGATTTTCCGCTGGATCCATGAAGGCACCACCGGACACAAACACAAACTTGGGCTGCTGTGGTGATGTTGCCGTTGCCATCAACAGGTCAACAGTCGAGGTGACATTGGCAGCACACAAGGTATCGTAGCTGGCATTCCAGTTGACAGATGCTCCGTTGTGGACTATTGCGTCGATGTTGGTATCTGATTTCGATAGACCAGAAAGGCGTTTCCACTGAATCTCTGCGAGGCCGAGATGTGGTTTGGCAAGGTCGCCCAACCAGATTTCCAACTTTTCTGCATCCTCTTCACGCCACCAGCCTGCGATCTTTGCTGTCTCCCGGACGCGACCCATCCCTTGTTCTAGTGATTTCGAACGGACATGAACGGCGATGGATTTTATCGCAGGGTTTCGCACCAACTGCCTCAAAATCTCAGTACCAAGGAAACCAGTCGCTCCAGTTAGGAAAATTGTTGCTTGATCAGGTAGTGTACTTGTAGGGTTTCCTTGTAGACCTTGTGGTTGTGATATCCAAGGTAAGTGAGAAATCGAATTGATCTTGACCATTAAATCGATGTCTGCATCTGAGTGATCTACCTCTGTCTCCCCATTCTCCGCGCTGAGAGAAATATACTTGGCCATGTTGCTGATGGTAGTGTGTTTGCTGTTCATGAGCGTATTGCCAAGGGACACGCCGAATTCATCAAGTATACGTCTCGAGATGTTGACGATGCGAATAGAGTCGCCACCTAACTGATAGAAATTGTCGTCTACGCTGATCGTTTCTCTTGGCATTTCAAGAATATCTGCCCACTGAGCTCGGATCCAGTTCTCGAGGTCGGATGTAGCATCACGGAATGGCAGACGCTGCCCAGCCAAATGAACTGCTAAATCTTCGGTGGAAAGACTTGCCGCTGCCTGCAAAAGCGCTTTTCGGTCAAGCTTGCCCGACGTGTTGAGCGGCATGGACTCGACAGCGATGAAATACTTGGGGACCATGTAGCTTGGCAAAACCGCAGTCAAGTTTGTGACCAATTGAGAGAAAAGCTCTTTTAGCTCGTCTTTATGTGACACTAACTGAACCTGTGCAGCCTCGATGGGGTTCTTGTCGTCAGAGAAGTTCACGAATGCAACTAGAGACTCATGTGTATCGTGACGAATAATGTCAACCGCCGCGTGCTTGAGATCAGGTAAGTGAAGCTTAATCTGATACTCAATCTCACCCAGCTCAATACGTTGACCACGAATCTTGACTTGAGTATCCTTTCGGCCGAGATAGTTAAAGCTTCCGTCAGGGTTATATCTGACTAGATCGCCCGTCTTGTAAAACCGGCGCTTTCCAACATCAACATTGGCGGGAAGCCACTTGACATGGTTGATGAATGTATTGTTCGTCTTCCCCTCATCATTGATATAGCCACGGGATAAAGAGTCTCCTTGTACTAAGAGTTCGCCTACGCATCCGATCGGGGTAAGCTCATGATGATTTTCTGGATTGACAACCCAACAATGATGAGCGAACCCACGACCAATGGTTGTAACTGGTACTGATACATCTGTATAGTGATGGAGAGTAGACACGATGCACGTTTCGGTAGGTCCATATGCATTCCATAGGCTAACATGTTGGCGCCATAAGTCTACGACCTCTTTAGATGGAGCCTCTCCACAAAGGAGTAGGGCTCTCAATGAAGGAACCGACTCTGGGCTGAGTGTCTTCACAAACGTCGGTGTAAGGATAGCGGTATTGATATTAGCTTGCTCAATAAATGTTGCCGTATGCTGCATGCGCTCTGCTTCAGTAGGCACACACACGGCGCCTCCTGATATCAAGGTGGCAAAAATTTCGAATATAGAGGCGTCAAAACCATAACTGGAGAATTGAAGCATCCTTGAGTCGCCACCAATATGGAGGATTTCGCAGACCTTGACAAGAAAGCTGGATATGGCTTTGTGTTCAATGATCACACCCTTGGGTATTCCTGTCGATCCGGAAGTAAACAAAATATACATTGCGCTTCCAGGCCGCGGTTTGATGGGCTTGAATTTTCGAGCTCTAGCAGAATTCTTCGTCTTCGAAAAGAAAGTCGGCGAGAGCTCAATGTTGTTCTTAGTCATACCTTTGCATTCTTCGACTGTGGTGGGAGAAACGATCATATACTGGGCGCTTGTCTCATCGATCAGGGCTTGACGACGACTGAGTGGATGGGTCGGATCTAATGGTAGGAAGACGCCGCCTGACTTCATGATACCTAGCATAGCAATAATTGCCCACACTGACTTCTCGTAGCAGAAAGGTACGATAGTTTCGGACTTGACACCAAGCTGAATGAGGTGTGAAGCGAGCTGATTTGACAACTTATCAACTTCTTTGTAAGTCATGCTTCCAGAAGTGGAATAGATTGCTTTCTGCTGGGGATTCTTAGCAGCCTGAGTCGAGATCAGTTCGTGCACACACGATTCGATTGGCTCGATGCTGTAGCTGTTGCACTCAATGGCTCGTTCTACATCCCAAGGCCCAGCAGCAGATAGCTCTGCCAATGTCTTGTCACCAGCACTCTGGAGTTGTTCAAGAATGTAAGAGAATTGTTCGGCGAGCGCATTCACTTGAGAGTCGCTGATAACATTCGGTTGATATATCAGGCCTAATTGAACATCGTCTTCAAGCAGTTGGCATTGCATGATAAGAGGATAGCTGAAGTAGTCACCGAGGAGTTCGCCTTCAGAAATGTCTTCGGCGATAGTCGGATAGAAAATGGCTGGCTCGGCTGCATCGCCGGTCTGAACGAATTGTTGAGCGGGCTGAACGATGAGGAGATTTGTGAAATTACATGCTTCCTTGGCGTCGTTGCTAATCCTGGAGATGTTTGCTAACCCGTATTGCTCATGGGGTATCATCTCAAATGCTTGGTTTTGGATGCTCTCGAGGAGATCCGAAATTGTTTGCTGTTTGTCGATCTGGACTCGTATAGGAACCGTGGCAATCACAAGTCCGGGCATCTCATCCACGCCTTGCACTGGGGCTTGTCGTCCAGAGACAGTTGTGCCAAAGCAAACATCATCAACGTGGTCGTATCGCGCTAACAACAATGCCCATGTTGCGCGCAAAATAGTAGCTCGGGTGATGGAAGATTTGGAGGGTCGTGGGAAATGTACTTGTTTATTCAACAAGCCTGCAATTTTCTGTGAGGAAGAAGAAGGCTTCGGTTGGGTGAGTCCCACGGGGAACATTGTGCGTTTGACACCGCGCAGTTGTGTAGACCAATAGTTGCGGCAATTCTCTTGGTCAAGATCCATAATATACCTGACAAAATTGGCATACGGCTGAATCGATGGTGGTTGGACTCGAGAATACATAGCATGCAATGTTCTTAGCATGATTGACAAAGTCCACCCATCGAAGACAGTGTGATGGATGTTTACTGCGAAATAACATTCATCACCCTGATTAATCACTGCGTATCGACAGAGCGGCGAGCCATAAGTCATACTGCGATTTTCTGGTGATAGGAGGAATGAACGAAGATCAGTATAAGTGGAGGACCAGTCGATGGGTTCATGAATAATTGCTTGAACTGCCGAGCTTCCAGAGAGCACGATCCGGGTACGAAGGTTGGTGCAGTAATTCACTGTTTGCTCCCAAGCTTGTTTGAAGCGCTCAATGTCGATATGAGATCCGAGACGGTAGACATGTTTTGCGATGTAGGACCCTGGTTGGTTGATAGTCAAAGCCATTAGTCCTGTTTGAAGATCCGTACAGGGGTATATGTCCTCGACTTCCGCAGAGCCTGAAAGCTTGCATTGGGTTTCGACCGCCCTCAAAGCAGTCTGCTTAGCAATTCTTGAGATGAGGCCAAACTGAGCAACATCGTCTGCTGAAGATGATGGAGAGAGCTCTGTCTGGATGGCCTCTGCCATGGATGAAAGTCGCGGATTATTGAAAATCATCGCTACCGTGAGGTTAATATTCTGTCGCTGGGCTAATGCGACTAGTTCGATGGCAACGATGGAATCACCACCAAGGTGAAGAAAGCTATCGTGCTTTCCAATGACTGTAGCATCTTCAATTTTAAGGACCTGAGCCCAGAGAGCCTGCAGCTGCAGCTCTGTTGGAGTTGTCGGCGATTCATGGTCACCAGCGTCAGGAGTGAAGCGCAGGCGATCCTGGACAGAGACACTACGGCCGAGTTCCACCAACGCGCGTCGATTAACTTTTCCGGATGTCGTCTGTTCTGGCTTACCCTCGAATATTAGGTATGACGAAGGAATCATGTATGAAGGGAGAGATTCTGCCAATGATGAATCCAGATGACAAATGAATCTCTGTGTTTTTTCTGGTAGAGACTCCATAAGAGAGAGACTTTGTGATTGAGTAATGTCTTCTTTGGTATACCAAAGGAAGGCCAACAGAATATCGTGGGCATTCTCATCATCCGCTTTGGGAATGTCGACCATGGCAGCCATGTTATCAGGGAGAAAGTGATGAATTTGGGACTCAATCTCACCAAGTTCCACTCGTTGACCGTGAAGCTTGATTTGAGTGTCTTTGCGGCCCATGTAGTCAAATGTGCCGTCAGCATTCCGGCGAACCAAATCGCCTGTACGATACACTCTCTTCTTTCCCCCAGGAAGCCAATCCACGTCGTCCATCCAGCTAGCAGCAACTTCAGCACTGACGTTCAAATAGCCGCGGGCAAGCATAGGGCCCTCAATAAGAAGTTCACCTATGCATCCCACAGGTACAAGCTGTCTGATGTTGCTCGGTTCAACGACCCAGAATGCACTGGAGATTGGCCTACCGAGGTTGGTCGACCGACCGGATTTGCCAACTGTGGGATTCCACGCGCAGATAGAGGCCTCAGCCGGTCCATAGAGACCATGTAACTCGACATGATTTACCCAGCGGTCTGCGCACTTCTTGCTAATGGCCTCACCACCAAGACATACCACCTTTAAGTCAGGGACATCCGTGGGAGACAACAGGTCGGCAACAGTGGGGGTCAGGAATACCCAGTTGGCCTTGAAAGACCGCATGACACCCGATAGATTGTTCATCCTGTCGTGATCAGAGGGTATACAGAGACAGGCGCCGCGCATTAAAGACACAAGGCAATCTAGAATACCGACATCAAACGTGTAAGCTGAAAATTGGAAGACTCGCGTACCGGGCCCGATATCAAGTTCATTTCCATAAGCGTCGCTTGATGAGCAAAGGTTATTATGCTGGATAACCATGCCCTTTGGTTTACCAGTAGAGCCAGAGGTAAAAAGAATGACGCTTGCATGTTGGGGTTGGACATTGGAAACTACTTCATGAGTTGGGTCAGGTAGCGCAGAAAGCATTTCCTGGTCGACCGACATGATCTCAACGCCGAGTCCCTCAAGCACCTTCCCACTAGATGGACTAGCTATAGCGAGAATAGCCTGGGTGTCATCAATGATGCCTTTCAATCGAGCGGCTGGAGCTGCTGGATCAAGAGGAACAAAGGCGCCGCCAGCCATTTCGATAGCCACCATGGCGATCACAGCCCACGCTGACTTGGGGAAGCACAAAAGAATTAAAGTTTCGGGACCGACTCCGTGTTCTTGCAATTTAACCGCTAAACGAGAAGCGTATATGCCGACTTGGGAGTAAGTGAGCTCTGCATCCCACGACGCGATGGCTATGTCATTTGGTCGAGATTGTATCGTTTCTTGGATGAGCCAATGAGCGCAACTCTCGCTGGAAGGGTTTAATCGGTTTGATTCAACTGCATGATGGAGATCCCAGGGGCTAAGAAGGGACACTGAGCTGAGAGGTGTGTTGACTGCCTCCTTTGAGACTAATTGTTGGGTGACGTGATCTAAATGAGATGCCAAAGCAACTACTTGAGGCTCTGATAATACTGTCGAGTCGTAGAAGAGATTCAATTGGAATTTGTCGGCATAGAGATTGGCGATGATTACGAATGGATAATTGAAGTAGCCGTCCATGGCATTCATTGTGAGATCGCTTGCAGACTCGTCTTGAACAAATATGCCATCATCCGCATCGTCGACTGCTCCATGTGCAGGAGGCTGAATGACCAACAGACTCGAGAAGTCGCAAACTTCCTTGGCTTCTGGACTGACTTTAGAGATATTCTGTAAGCCATACTGTTCATAAGGAATCATGGTTGAGCTCAAGTTCTGGATATCTTGGAGGAACCTTGATATCGGTGCCTGGCTATTAAGACGGGCTCTGATAGGAACGGTGGCAATCATTGGTCCGGCGATCATTTCCGCGCCTTGTATCTTTGCTTGACGACCAGAAACTGTCGCGCCGAAAACCGCCTCACCACTATCGCTGTACCGGGCAAGGACAATAGCCCAAGCAGCTCGCAGAATTGAGGCTTGTGTGATGGAGCTCTTCACAGATCTTGAAAACGCAATCGTCGAGCTATATCTCTTAGTTTCTGTGCTGCCCAGGGCACCTCGGCGTGGTGGAAACGCGGGACGTTTTGCCCCGGCTAGTTCTTCTCTCCAGTATGATACGACCTTGTCATTATCAAGTTCCCGTACCGATTTGATGAACGTAGAAAACGGTCGTACTTCAGGTGCATAACCATCTTGGTAGACACCATAGAGGGCTGAGAACATGACTCTTATTGTCCATCCATCGTAAATGGAATGGTGAGCAGACCAGACGAAGTAGTTTTCACCCTTGTCCGACACGATGGCGTACCAGCATAAAGGAGTTCCGTAGCCCATCTTCAAATTCCGTGACGACCCAGTCATTGACTCGAGAGTCTCATTATCAGCATTCACCCAATTACTATCATTGTCGAGTACTATTTGCGTCATAACTCCGTCCAACACAACGATTCGTGTTCGAAGGTTGTCGCACGTTTCCACGACCGAGTCCCACGCAGCCATGAACATGGGAATGTCCACTGAGTCCGATAAATGGTGGGCATATGTAGCAACATATGACCCCGGCTGCTTTGCCGTAAGGGCAATGAGACCTTCTTGGAGAGAAGAGCAGGGATATGCATCAATGATAGTTTGGTCTTTGAGAAGGCCGCACTCTTTTCGAACCTTGCCTTCAAGGACAAGGCTTTGTTGTGATTTGGGCAAGAGGCTAAATGGCTCTGGAATAGAATCTGTTTCGTCCACATCATCTTGAATCAGCACAGCTTTTGAGGCAACAGCAAACAATCTGGGGTCATCAAAGACATCCTTCACGGTAAGTAGAATGCCATCTTGCTGCGCTGTTGACACGAGGTATATAGCCATAATAGAATCGCCCCCGAGCTGGAAGAAGGTATCGTCCCTGCCAATGGAGTCCATTGGCAAATTCATAATTTCGGCCCAAATTAATTGTAAGCGTTGCTCCATTTCTGTCTCTGGCTGACGCTTTTCGCTGTTGGCTAACGAATATGTTGCCAGCTGATCTGGGCTAAGCGAAGACAGCAGCCTCTGCAGCAATTTTCTGTCTAATTTTGTAGAGGTGATGAATGGCATATACTGGCAAGGAATAAACAATGTTGGAATCATGTAGCGAGGCAAGGCAATGGCTAGTTCTCCCGCGAGAGCAACCAGCTGGTTCTGCAGGCTTTCGTCGGGAGATGAGAAAGGTGCCTCCTCTTTGTCGGCTTGAATGCCTGCTGTCCTTGTTTCATCATTGAAGCAAATGTAGGCAACAAGATTCGAGCCACTATCGCCCCTAAACACGTCAACGGCTACCTGTTGCACACCTGTCAAAGCTTGTTGGATGTGGTACTCAACTTCGCTCAATTCAACGCGCAGGCCACGAATCTTGATTTGTGTGTCTTTGCGTGTCGAAAACTCAAGGGTGCCGTCTGCATTATAACGACAAAGATCACCCGACTTATAGAATCTATTCCAGTGTGTCCCATCCGGTCGAGGAGCCCATTCAGCGGATGTCATGATGGAGACACCGGTGCGCTCTGGGTCTTTAAGATACTCCTGCAAGAGAGTCGGACCTTGGATGACGACTTCACCAATCGTACCGAAAGGTGCAAGGCGATCTGGATTTTCAGGATCAACAACCCAGCAAAAGCCGCCGACAGGGCGTCCAATTGTAAGGGACGACTCATTAATAGATTGCCACTCATGCAAAGTACTGAATACACAAGTCTCGGCTGGCCCCCAACCATTGATTAAACGAACTTTACCAAGCCAGGTCGTAAATACATCACGAGGAACTGCTTCACCGGCAAGCAGCAAAAGTTCCAGGCCTGGAATATCTTTTGGCTTGAGGGTCCGTACAAACGAAGGCGTCAGGTAGGCCCAGTTGACGTTTGTATTTTGAATGAACTGTGGAAGCTCATTTATCCTAGCGTGTGCTGACGGAACGCATACGCAGGCTCCTGTAATAAGGGGAGCAATAATTTCGCCAATTGATAGATCGAAAACAAACGCCGCGAACTGAAGCATGCGAACTTCTGGTGTTAGCCCAAGCCTCCTGGCAATCGAAATCTGGCTTGTACACACAGATCGATGCTGCATAACTAGACCCTTCGGAGTGCCAGTGCTGCCTGACGTAAAAAGCACGTAGGCAATATTGTTTGGAGAGACTTTGCTGATGGGACCTTTTTGACTGTTTACAAGTTGTAAAAGTTGGCTATCTAAACCAGTACTAACTTGAACGACGGATTCGACGAGACTGAAACAAAGATCAATGTATTCTGGCGAACAGAGCGCAATCTTTGCTTGGGTTTGATTGACAACCTGTCGGAGACGCTGTTCAGGATGGGATGGATCAATCGGTACCCAAGCAGCACCAGTCTTGTTGATAGCTAAGATTGATATAAAATACCAGATAGATTTCTCAAAGCATACGTGTATTAGCTCATTTGTCTGAATATCGTATGTCTGAACAAGATGGTTTGCTAGACGATTAGCTGCTTGGTCAAGCTCGGAATAGGTAAAGTCACCATCCCAAGAACGAATAGCCATAGCATTGGGACGGCAAGTAGCTTGATCTTCAACGAGATGATGGAAACAAGAATCGATAATCTCTGGAACATCGGGATTGAGCTTGTGTGACTGTTGAATATCCCAGGGAGAAACAAGAGAAAGGTTGCCTAGTGGGTGATTGGGTTTTGATTCGGCTAGCTGAGTAATGACATGCTTGAGCTGCTCAGACAATGCCATGATCTGTTGCTCAGCAATGCACAGCGGGTTGTAAATAAGGACAATTTTGACGAAATCGTCACTCAAATGGCCTTGAACGACAAGAGGGTAAGAAAAATAATTCTGCATTCCATCTGTTTCCTCTTCTGTGCTTTTGATAGCATCTAAAAGGGTATCTTCATTGCCGCTGTCATTATTTGAGAACATTTGGAGAGGCTGAACGACAAGCAAGCTTGTGAAATCACATGCGTCCTCGGCGTCACTGTCAAGTTTGCGTATATTCTGTAGGCCAAATTGCTCATAGGGTATCATTTCCATTGCCTGGGTTTGAACGTCCTCCAGAAATTTCACTGTTGATTTCTGGTTTTCGAGATGAATGCGAACAGGTATGGTGGCAATTACCGGGCCAGGCATTTGTGTCAAGCCATGGAGGGATGCTTGTCGCCCAGAGACTGTTGCACCAAAGCAAACATCGGTACTATCACAATAGCGTGCAAGAACTATTGCCCAAGCGGCACGCACAATTGTGGCTGTAGTGATGTTTGAATTACTCTTTGAAAGCTCAACATCCGTGGTGACTGTACGCGAAGCACTTGGCTTGCTGGTGGACTCAATCGGAACGGAGGGGAATGTTGCTTTTCGAGCATTCTGGAGTTGCTTTGCCCAATAGTCGCCAGCGGCTTCGTAGTCAAGTTCCATGGTGTATTTGATGAAATGTGAATACGGGACGAGGCTGGCTAGTTCGAGACCTCTATAAGCTTGATGAAAGGCCCGGAAGATAACGGACAACGCCCAGCCATCATAGATAGCGTGATGGATGTTCATGGAAAAGTAAAAACATCCGTCATCTTCAATAATAGCATAGCGGCATAGACGTGACCCATAACCCATTTCCATAACTCGAGTTTCTTGCAGATAGGATCGGAGCGTAATTTGATTCGTAGGGTCCCAAGCGATGTCACCCTTGGCAACAATCTGGACAGAGGTTGCGCCCAGCCTGATGATTCTTGTACGAAGGTTGGTGAAGTGGTTGACGATCTGCTCCCATGCTGCTTTTAGCTTGGTGACATCAACGTGAGACGGGATGCGATAATTATATTTCCCAATGTAAGAGCCAGGCTGCTTGACAGAGAGTGCCATCAGGCCCTCCTGCATCTTAGAGCAGGGATAGGCATCTTCTATATCCATGCCACGGGGCAAAGCCAAGGCCGGATCAGTAGGACTATTGGAGATTAATTCATGTTGGGATTCATCAAGTAGGGTAAAAGGCCCGATATGAGTAACCGCCAATTCCTCGTTATCATCCATGAAAGAAGCTCTGGAGGCAACGGATAATAGTCGAGGATCTTGGAAAATATCGCTCACAGTGAGCGCAATTCCTTGATCACGAGCAGCGGCTACTAGCCTGATGGCAGCAATGGAATCACCGCCAATGCTGAGGAAGCTGTCATCACGACCAATTGTTTCCATGGGAATAGCCAAGACATCTGCCCAAACGGCCTGTAGCTTGCACTCCATTGGAGTTTTCGGCATGACTTTCTTACTATTCACTAATGAATAACCCGCCAATTGATCTTGAGTGAGGGCTGATGTGAGCATTTGTAAAGTCTTTCTATCCAGCTTTCCAGATGTCGCAGTTGGCATATACTGGCACTGGACGAAAAGGGTGGGAATCATATACTCCGGAAGTGAAATCTTGATTTCTCCAACCATGGCAGCGATGCGATGTTGAACTTCTTCCGTCAACGGTATGAAAACATCATTGACGTCTGTTCCTGAGATGACTGCAGTGGAATCGCTAAAGCAAAAATACGCAGCAAGAACTGAGGCAGTGTCAGACTTGAAGACATCAACAGCAACTTGGAGAGCGCCGTGGAGAGCTTCTTTAATGCGATATTCAATTTCGCCCAACTCCACACGTAGACCGCGAATCTTAACTTGCGTATCCTTGCGCGAATGGAATTTAATTGTACCATCGGGATTATAAGAACACAGGTCTCCCGACTTGTAAAAGCGATTCCAATGTTCCGAATCAGGACACAAAGCCCAATCAGGACGACTGCACAATATTGAAGCCTGGGTCTTTGCAGGATCATTTAAATACTCGCGCATCAGAGTAGGTCCTTGCACAATCAGCTCACCAACTGCTCCCGCCGGTGCAAGTCTCTGGGGATCTTCGGGATCGACAATCCAACAAAATCCACCGACCGGTTTTCCGATGGTCATATTTGACTCGTTTGCTGATTTATATTCATGCATTGCACTCATGACACAGGTTTCTGACGGCCCCCAGCAATTAAAGAATCTCACTTTGTCAACCCATTCTTCAAACAAAGCACGAGGGAGAGGCTCGCCTCCAACCGCTACCAATTCTACGCTTGGCACGTCATCGGGGCTTAGCGTCTGTAAAAAGGATGGAGTCAAGAATAGCCAATTTATGCCACTTTCCTGGACGAAATCTTTCAACCGGTTCATGCGAGTTTCTTCGGATGGAATGCAGACGCAAGCACCAAATAACATGGCTGCTATGATTTCGCTGATAGAAAAGTCAAAGACATACGTGGTGAATTGTAATATCTTTACCTGCGGGGTAAACCCGAAGCGTTTTCCAACGGCTGTTTGACTTGTACAAAGCGCGCCGTGATTTATGATTAGGCCCTTTGGCGTACCCGTGCTGCCAGAAGTAAATAAGACGTAGGCAGCGTGAAGGGCGGTTACTGTAACGTCGGGCCCATAGCGACTATCGTAGTTTTTCCCACTGAGATTGGAATCCAAGGACGACGAGACTGCAACGACTGAAGGGACCAATATAGAACATCTCTCAACGTTGTCGGGGGACGCGAGTGCAACTCGTGCTTTTGTTTGCCTGACGATCTGTTTGTGACGTTGAAGAGGATGTGATGGATCAATAGGGCCCCAAGCAGCACCAGCTTTGTTGATTGCCAAAATGGCTACGACATACCAAGCTGATTTGCTGAAGCAAACATGAACGATGTCATGAGGTTTCACACCTATTTCCGCGACAAGGTGGTTGGCCAGTTGGTTGGCTGCCCTGTTCAGCTCGTGGTAGGTGAAGTTTTTGTCCCAGCCTTGTATAGCCATAGCGTCCGGGCGTGTCTCTGCTTGAAGTTCAATAAGCTTATGCAAGCAGGCGTCTAGGATTTCTGGTAGAGTCTCGCTATTCGCTTTGTGGGAGAACTCGACGTCCCAATTAGAAGTCAAAGATAAATCATTAAGTTGTGATTCCGGCTGCAAAATGAGTTGCTTCATAATATGCTCCAACTGGTGAGATATAGCCAATATTTGCGACTCCGTGAGAATGTTAGAATCATAAATGAAGAAAAGGTTGACGCTTTCATCTGTCACGTGGCCTTGAATGATAAGAGGATAGTTGAAATAATTCTGCATCGTATTTTCTCCTTGCAAGTCAACTTGGACTGGCAGAAGCATTGCATCGCCTTCATTCGTCAAGTGCTGCATTGGCTGAATGACCAATAAGCTCGAGAAATTGCAGGCCTCTTGAGTTCCAGAGTTAATTTTGGCAATCTCCTGTAATCCAAACTGCTCATAGGGGACCATCTTCGAGGCCTGATTTTGTATGGTGCCTAAATAGTCCAATACAGTTTGCTGTTTGTCTAGTTGGACACGAATAGGCACAGTAGCAAGTGCAGGCCCTGGCATTTCCGACAACCCTTGAACAGATGCTTGACGACCAGACACGGTAACTCCGAAGCAAATATCATCGGTCTCGCAATATCTTGCAAGGAGCATAGCCCATGCCGCTCGGATTATGGTCGCTTTAGTTACCGACAAGCCAGCCATCTCAGGCAACTCCAAGTCTCTTTCTAGAGTTTTACAAGAGTTTGAGTCTTTTGCTGATTCAGAGGAAGGCGGGTACGATGCGCGGCTTGCGCCGTGGAGTTGTGACCCCCAATAATTTCTTGCGTCTTCGTGATCAAGGTTTGCAATATATTCTACAAACCTGTTGTACGGCTGCAGTTGTACAGGGGAGCAATCCTGATAAATCGAATGAAGAACTTCCATCATGAGACGTAATGTCCAGCCGTCATAGATAGAGTGGTGCAAAGTCCATATAAAGTAGCTCTCCCCATGGTCTTCGATAATCGCATAGCGGTGTAATCGAGATCCGTAAGCCATTTTGAAGGAATGCATGGACTTCACGTATGAGTGTAGCTCCGTGCCATCTGGACTCTCCCACGCAACGTCATCCTCAAGAACAACTTGGACTGACGTATTTCCAACAACAACGATTCTTGTGCGCAAGTTGTTGCACATCTTTATTGTCTTTTCGAAGGCAGCTTTGAACTTCCGAACGTCAACACTACGATTCAGGCGGTAGACAAACTTTGCAACATAGCTTCCGGGCTGCTTCTCTGCAAGAGCCAGAAGACCCTCTTGCAACTTAGTGCAGGGGTAGGCGTCTTGAATGACGCTATCTTCGGCAAAATTATACGCTTGCCGTAACTCTTGGCTTGATAGCGATTGTCGCACTTTCTCATCAAGGAGAGCAAACTGTGTGATTTCCGACACCGAATCACATTTCGTGAGATTAGTCGCTTTAGCAGCAATGGCTAATAACCTGGGATCATCAAAGACATCGGATACTGTAAGCCCGATATTGTCATCCCGAGCGGCATTAACAAAGTGTATTGCCATAATGGAGTCTCCACCAATCTGCAGGAAACTATCATCACGGCTAATAGATGCAGCAGGTATACTTAATACTGCGGCCCATATGGCCTGTAGCCGGTGTTCCATCTCTGTCTTCGGACTATGCTTCTCTGACTTGGAGAGTGCATATTCAGCAAGAGTCTCTGGACTAAGGTTGGAAGCCATAGTCTTTAGCTTCTTCCGGTCCAACTTTGTCGATGTTGTAAACGGGAGATATTGGCAAGGAACAAAGTTCGTCGGAACCATGTATGGGGGCAGCAGAGCTTTCAGACGGCCAAGCAAAGCACTAAACTTGTGTTCCGTGTCAGGTTCGAGTGGAAGGAATATATCAGCACCGGAGTCAACAATGGACGCATTAGCTTCAATATTGAAGCTGATGAAAGCTATCAGGCTTGCTCCAGCAGTAGTTTTCAACACGTCCACGGCGACTTCACAGGGAGTGTCTAATTGATTGCGAATGTGGTGTTCAATATCCCCAAGTTCAATCCGGAAACCGCGGATTTTAACTTGTGTATCTCTACGGCCACTGAATACGATGTTGCCATCATGGTCGTAGAAACATAGATCTCCGGATCTATAGCATCGATTCCAATGCTGAGAATCAGGCTGAGGAGCCCAAGCTGGTTTCGGAATTAATGCAGCCCCAGTTCGTTCGGGGTCATTTAAATATTCGAGTAGCAGTGTTGGGCTTTGAACAACGATTTCACCGACGGTGCCTATTGGAGCAAGGCGATGCGGCATATCTGGGTCAACAATCCAGCAGAAACCACCAACTGGACGGCCAATGACAAGAGAGGACTCTTCAGCAGAAGTCCATTCGTGCACAGCACTAATAACACAGCTCTCCGTGGGACCCCAGGCGCAAATAAGACGTAGCTTGCCATACCACTTGAGAACTAAGTCTTGAGGGATAGATTCACCGCCAACTAGGAGGAGCTTCAAGCCTGAAACATCTTCTGGTTGGATTGTACGAGCAAAAGTCGGCGTTAGGAAAGCCCAGTTCACTCGCTTCTTGTTAATAAAGCCAGCCAGGTTTTCCACTCGTTCACTATCTGACGGAACGCAAACACAGGCACCGGAGATCAGCGATGTCATTGTCTCGCCAATGAACATGTCAAAAACGAAAGCCGAAAATTGCAATATTCTCACTTCTGAGGTCATGCCGAGTCTCTCAGCCAAAGCGGTTTGGCTAGTGCATAAAGACATGTGTGTCATAACGACACCTTTCGGCGTTCCGGTGCTCCCTGAGGTGAAAATGATATAAGCGACACTGTAAGGCGATACAGCTAGATGAGGCGCGTATAACTTCGGCACAGATAAACTCAATTGTCTGTCAAGTTGAGCTGTGACCTCTATTACATTTTCGACTAATTTGGTGCAAAGCGTCGTATTTCTGGGCGACACTACCGCTACCCGAGCTTCTGTCTGATGGACAATCTGGAGTAATCGCTCCTCAGGTTGAGAGGGGTCTAAAGGCACCCAAGCAGCACCGGCTTTATTAATCGCAATAATCGACACAAAGAACCAAGCGGACTTCTCAAAGCAGACATGGACGAGGTCATTAGGCTTTACACCATGAGTGTGAATGAGATGGTATGCAAGCCTGTTTGAAGCCTCAATTAACTGGCTATATGTGAGTTCCGCATCACAGGCTGAGATTGCTGGTGCATCAGGGCACATCTGGGCTCGGGTTTCGATCAGTTCGTGGATACACGAATCGACGACCGGCGGTATAACACTGTTTGAAGCAATAGCCAATTCCAAATCATGGGAGGATGCTATTGAAATGTCCTTAAGAGTAACGGCATCACTGGATGTGAGTTGGCGGATAACATGACCAAGTTGGTTAGATAACGTTTGAACTTGACGTTCAGTCAAAACATTTCCATCATAGGCCATTGCGACTCTCAATTCGTCCTCATAAACGTGACCTTGTACAATAAGAGGGTAGCTGAAAAAGTTCGCCAGAGTATCCGAAAGCCCTTCTTCAGTCGTATCTGCAGAGACAAGCAAAGTCTTGCTCTTTTCACTATTAGAAATATGGCTCATTGGTTGAACTACCAACAAGCTTGAGAACTGGCATGCCTCATTGGCATCCTGGCTTAGCTTTGAGATATTTTGCAGACCAAACTGTTCGTATGGAATCATTTCTACTGCTGCCTCTTGGACACCGTTTAAAAATTCTGATGCAAGCTGGTGACGGTCTATTTGGATGCGAACCGGAACGGTTGCAATTGCTGGTCCTACCATGTTAACAATTCCGGGGATAGGAGCTTGGCGACCAGAGACGGAGGTACCAAAGCATATATCGTCTGTGTCACAATACCTAGCAAGGACTATGGCCCAAGCGGATCGAACAACGGTTGCGACTGTGACATTGAGTTCTTTAGTATCGATGAAGCCGACAGAAGTCTCAAGAACAGATGTTGCCGTAGGCTTATCATGTGTGCTTTGTAGAGGAGGATACGGGGCATGATTGGCATTATGTAGGAGGTCTCTCCAATACGCGGAGGCAGCCTCACTATCTGTCTGAAGAAGATAATGAATGAATCGCGAATAAGGCGTTGTGGCGGGAACTTCATCGCCAAGGTACGCCTTGTGTAGGATATTGAGGATGACTTGAATAGATAAACCGTCAAAGACCGTATGATGCATGGCCCAGAAGAAGAATACATTTTCTTGTTCGTCTCTAACGAATGCAAACTGGCACAGAGGCGTGCCGTAACTCATGTTCATAGTTTTAGCGTATCGTAGAACGGATTGTAAATCCTGATATTGGAGAGGTTCCCAGCTAGAACTTTGGTCCAACACGACTTGATATGTGGCTTTAGTCGAAGTGTGTATAATTCTCGTCCGCAAACTGGGACAAATGTCTAAAGTTTGTTTCCACGCTGACTTGAATCGAGCCAAATCAACGTGATCAGGGAGGCGATAGAGGTATTTGGCAATGTAACTGCCAGGTTGCTTGACAGATAACGCCATTAAACCCTCCTGAAGCTTGGTGCAGGGGTAGGCATCTTCGATGATGGACCTGGGAGGTATCGTACATTGTGCTTGAGCTTCAGCCAAAATCACATCAGACTCCTTGATCGGAAGCATACCAAACGGCTGAATCTCATTGTATGAAGCTGAGTCATTCTCTGTGACGGCATTAGCCATTTGTTCGAGTCGAGGACTTCGGAAAATGATAGCAACTGTCAGGCTAAGTCCTTGCTGTTGAGCCCTAGACACCAGCTGGATAGCGGATATTGAGTCGCCACCAAGCCGTAAGAAGCTATCATTCTTGCAAATATCCTCTGAGTTGATGCGGAGAACTTGGGCCCAAAGCTCTCTCAACTTAAATTCCATGGGTGTAGTAGGTAGGACGCGGAAGCTAGTATCAGGAGCAAAGCGTAGACGCTCTTCAGCAGTAATATGCTGGGCTTGGCTAGTAAGAGAGCTCCGATTGATCTTTCCGGTTACGGTTTGTTCTGGCTTGCCACTAAATATAAGGTAAGATGAAGGAATCATATACGGGGGTAAAATCGTGCTCAGAGATGTATCTAGGTGCAGGATAGTGGCCCGCGCTTCATCGGAGATAAAATGCATGAGGCGAGTCGATGAATTAGCTGCTTCCTCAATATACCAAAGGAAGGCCAATAGGGTATCAGTAGTACCATTGTCCTTCAGAACGTCTACAATAGCAGCCATGTTGCCGGGTAAGAGCTCGTTGATCCAGGCCTCAATTTCTCCTAGTTCAACACGTTGACCGTGGAGCTTGACCTGGGTATCCCTACGGCCGAGGTAATCAAATGTGCCATCTGCGTTCCGTCGCACCAGATCGCCCGTACGATAAACTCTCCTGGATTGGTTGCTGCCGGGGAGCCAGTCAACTCCGTCCATCCAGTTGGCGGCGACGTCGGCAGACACATTGAGATAACCCCGAGCAAGCATTGGGCCCTCGATGAGAAGCTCGCCAATACAGCCAAGTGGCACTAGAGACTTGGGGTCGTTGACATCAACAACCCAAAATGCACTGGAAATCGGGTGTCCAAGATTTGTTGAGCGTCCAGATTTCCCTACCATAGAGTTCCATGCACAAATTGATGCCTCTGCTGGGCCATAAAGTCCATGAAGATCCACATGGTTAACCCATCTCTCAGCACATTTCTTGCTTATGGCTTCGCCACCGAGACAGACGGTTTTTAAGGTAGGAACATCGACTGGATGAAGTAAATCAGCGACAGTTGGCGTAAGGAAAACCCAGTTAGCTTTAGATGCAGTAATAGCAGCAGCAAGGTTATTGAGGCGATCATGATCTGAAGGAATGCAAATACAGGCACCTCTCATAAGTGATACAAGGCAATCTAAAACACCAACGTCAAATGTATATGCAGAGAATTGGAACACTCGCGTGCCGAGTCCAATATTCAGGTCAGATCCATAGGCATCACTAGATGAACAGAGACTGTTATGCTGAATGACCATGCCCTTGGGCTTTCCTGTGCTGCCGGATGTAAATAAGACAACGCTGGCGTTGGTAGGCTGCACCTCGCATTGTAGAACAACCGAGCTGGGCAGTTCAGATATCATTTCGTCATACACAGTGATAACCTCTACACCCAGAGATTGTAATGTTGCTTGGCTAGACGGGTCAGCAATGGTCAATGAAGCTCCTGTGTCCTGTAGAATGCCCTGTAATCTTGCTGACGGAGCGCCAGGGTCAAGAGGAATGAAAGCGCCACCTGCCATTTGAACAGCTATCATAGAGACCACTGCCCACTTGGATTTATGGAAGCATATAGGAACCAGTGACTCAGGTCCAACACCGAGATCCTGTAGCTTGACCGCTAAGCAAGTGGCATGAGACCCAAGTTGGGCATAAGTGAGTTTGCCATCCCAGGACGTAATAGCAACTTCCTCGGGCTGTTCCTTAATCTTTTCTTGGATCAACCAATGTGTACATGATTCTGTAGCAGGGCGAAGGCGAGATGCATTAATGGCTTGCTCAAGGTCCCAAGAGTCAATCAGAGAGATATCCCTCTGCATGCCGCTATTTCTTAAAAGCTGTTGCATAACGTGTTCAATGTGATGCGACAAGGCTTCCATCTGAAGGTTGGTGAGAATTGCGGAGTTATAAAACAGTCGTTGTTGGATAACACGCTCTCCAATGCTACTAATGATAACAAGAGGATAATTGAAATAGCCCTGCATAGCCTTTTCTGTCTCTTCTTGCTCAATATCACTCTGTAAAAGGAGAGCTTTCCCATCATCTCCCCCAGATGGGTCATGTACTGGCGGCTGAATGACGAGAAGACTCGAAAAGTCGCAGGCCTCTTTTGCATCTGGACTTAGCTTGGCAATATTCTGAAGACCAAACTGTTCAAAAGGAATTAAAGAAGATGCTTGCGATTGAACATCCATCAAGAACTGGGATGTTGAGGCCTGCTTGTCAAGTCGAACGCGGACTGGAATAGTTGCAATCATTGGCCCGGCGATGGACTCAACCCCTGGGACTGGGGCCTGTCTACCTGAGACGGTAGTGCCAAACGTTACATCGTTGCTATCGCAGTACCGGGCAAGGACTAGTGCCCAGGCTGCACGCACAACTGTGGCTTTCGTAACAGAAAGATCAAGTGAGTCTGGAAGAACAATGCTTGAGTGGTGGACATCAGTCATGGCAGAAGAGGTAGCACGTTGGTTAGACGGAAATTCTGCCCGCTTGGCTCCAGCTAGCTCCTCCATCCAAAAGTCCGTGGCCTTTTTGATATCCAATTTCGAGTAGTAATTGAGGAAGGAAGAATATGGTCTAACAGGAAGTATTGTATCGCGGTAGTAGGCCGAATACAATGTGCTGAATATGATTCGCATCGTCCAGCCGTCATAGATGGAGTGGTGAGCTGACCACACAAAATAAGCTGTATCGCTTTCGCGTATGATAGCACACGAAGATAGGGGCGTTCCATAGGTCATTTTGAGAGTTTTCGACGACTCAAGAATAGAAGACAGTGACTGATTCTCTGTAGGCTTCCACTGGCTGCCACCTCGAACAACGACTTGGATAGACTCTCCGTTCAGATGGATGATCCTAGCCCGTAAGTTAGAACAAATATCAGCCATTTGGTCCCAAGCGGCCATAAAACGAGAAACGTTGACATGGCCAGGAAGTCGGAAAACATAATTTGCGATGTAGGATCCGGGTTGCTTAGCAGTCAGGGCCATCAGCCCCTCCTGTAGCGAAGTGCATGGATAGGCATCTTCGATAACATCCTCGGTGGACAGGCAACATTGGCTGCGAATATCATCACTGAGAATCTCGGTTTTGAGATTATCAGACAGCATGCTGAATCGTGTCACTTGTGTCTCAGCATCATATTTAGTCTTTGTAGCCTTCGAAGACAGTGCCATGAGTCTCGGGTCGTCAAACACATCCTTTACTTGGAAAGAAATTCCCATTTCCCAAGCGCGAGAGGCTAACTGGATGGCCAAAATTGAGTCCCCCCCAACTTGCAGGAAACTATCATCTCGACCTATAGAGTCCACAGGAACGCTCAAAATCTCCGCCCAAAGCCTCTGTAGTTTAATTTCCATCTCAGTTTCGGGCTTGCGTTTCTGGGTGTTGAGAAGATTGTATGGAGCTCGCTGTTGGTCATCCAGAGAAGCCATCAAAAGGCGTAAAGCCTTTCTGTCTAGCTTGGTAGATGTGATGGATGGCATAAAATCGCAGGGGATGAACATGGTAGGGATCATGTATTGGGGCAATGTAATCCTGAGTTCACCTAGCATAATAGCGATTTTCTGCCGCATATCATCCGTAATAGGTGCAAATAGACCGGTCGCAGTGAATTCTCCGTCGGCGGATGGATTCTTCATCTCATCGTTGAAGCAGATATACGATACGAGATTAGACCGGCCCTCCTTTTGGTACACATCAACGACGACTTGGCATACGCCTTCCAGTGTTTCGTGCACATAATGTTCGACTTCGCCTAGTTCAACTCTCAACCCGCGGATCTTGATTTGCGTGTCCTTGCGGCTACTGAAAACTATGGTGCCATCAGGATTGTAGTAGCCAAGGTCACCAGATTTGTAAAACCTGTTCCAGTGCACTGAGTCTGGTTGAGGCGCCCACTGTGGAAGACTGTATACAGTTGAGTCTTTGGTGCGTTCGATATCAGCAAGGTATTCGCGTAGGATTGTAGGGCCTTGTATAACAATTTCGCCCAATGTACCAGTCGGTGTAAGTTGCTGAGGATCTTCTGGGTTCACAATCCAGCAAAACCCTCCGACAGGCCGACCAACAACAAGTGGCGATTCATCCACAGAGGACCATTCATGGAGGGTGCTGAAGCAACAGGTTTCAGCAGGGCCCCAGCCATTGACGAGACGGACTTTTCCAAACCAGGTGGATAGCACCTCCCGGGGGACAGCTTCACCGGCTAATAGCAACAGCTCTAGGCCAGGCATATCCTCTGGAACAAAAGCCCTTACGAAAGCAGGTGTAAGGTACGCCCAATTAACCCCAGTTTCATTCACGTATTGTGTTAGGCTATTCATTCTTGTTTCTTCCGACGGGATGCATAGACAGGCACCCGAGATGAGAGGCCCTACAATCTCACCAATAGAGAGATCGAACACGAAAGCAGCGAACTGTAGCATCCGAACATTAGATGTCAAGTTAAGCCTCTTTGCAATAGCTGTTTGACTCGTACAAACGGCACCATGTTCCATGACCAGGCCCTTTGGTTTTCCGGTACTTCCAGAGGTGAAAAGCACGTATGCCGCGTGTCGATGAGTAACAGCAACAGTTGGGCCTTTGTGGCCATCTTCGGTCAGAACTAAGGCCTTATCGAGTTCAACATCAATTTGCAGAACGTTATCGACAAGGCCCGAGCAGAGTTTTGCATTACGGCATGATGTCAATACCAGTGTAGAGCGTGTCTGGCTTATCACTTGTCGTAGCCTCTGCTCTGGATACGAAGGATCTAATGGAACCCATGCAGCACCCGCTTTGTTGATTGCAATAATAGCAACAAAATGCCAAACCGACTTTTCGAAACAGACGTGAATAAGGTTATCTGGTGTAACATTATAGTTCTTGACAAGATAGTGAGCAAGTCGATTTGCGGACTCGTTAAGTTGTCTATACGTCAAATTTCCGTCCCAAGCCGAGATTGCCAGAGCTTCAGGCTCACTATGAGCTTGGGCTTCGATAAGTGTGTGGACACAAGTGTCCATAATTTCTGGCACCTCTGGGTTAAATTTAACTGACTGCTCAACATCCCACTCAGATGCAATGGAGAGGTCCTTTAATAATACATCAGGACGTAAAAAGAGCTGAGAGATAACGTGCTTCAACTGATTTGAGAGCGTAATAAGCTGCTGTTCGGCAATAGCAAGCTTATTGTATATGAAAACGAGCTTATCACCACATTCATGTAAGTGGGCTTGAATGACGAGAGGATAAGTGAAATAGCTCTCTAATGTTTCGTCAGCTGCATCGTCAGATTGTGCAACAAGAAGGGCCTGCTCATCGCCATTGATATGCGACAAAATCTGTCTGGGCTGGATCACAAGGAGACTGGAAAAGTCACAAGCGTCTTTCGCATCTTCACTCAACTTGGCGATGTTATGCAAGCCGAATTGCTCATATACAACCATTTCAGATGCCTGCGCTTGAATATCCTTAAGAAATCCAGATATATCTTTTTGGCGATCTAAGTGAATCCTAACAGGAATCGTCGCAATAACTGGACCAGGCATTTCCGCTAATCCAGCAACCGGAGCTTGACGACCCGAGACAGTTGTACCAAAGCAAATGTCATCAGCATCACAATAGCGAGCAAGCACGATCGCCCAGGCCGCGCGTAGAATTGTCGCCTTTGTGACATTGGCAGAGAGTTTGGGCATCAGTATCTCGAATTCGAAATGTCTGGTATTATTAGAGCCAGCAGGTTGCTCACTCGAAGCCAGTCTGTTCGGATAGCTGGCCTTCTTTGCGTTATGAAGTTGAGCAAGCCAATACTCGCTTGCCGATTGGTAATCAATATCTAAAGTATATTGAATGAATCGCGAATACGGCTTCAGCTCATTGACCCGAAGCCCTTGATAGGTGTTCTCCAGTGTTTCAAGTACCAAGCGCATTGTCCATCCATCGAATACTGCATGGTGCATTGTCAGTACAAAGTGCACGTCGCCATTATGAGATATTAGGGCATAATGGCACAGCCTGGAGCCGTATTCCATCCTGATATGTCGTGAGGCGTCAAGGTAGTCATCTAGAGATCTAGTATCTGTATCTAGCGAGTCCCACTCGACATCATCTTTTATCACGACCTGGATGGAGTACCCATCGATGTGCATAATCCGAGTTCGCATATTCGGACACATCTCAATAGTCTTTTCCCAAGCAGCCTTGAACTCCACAAGGTCTGTGTTTTTGGAAATGCGATAATGAAATCTGGCTATGTATGAACCGGGTTTTTGAATAGCTAATGCCATCAGGCCTTCTTGGAGCTTTGAGCAAGGGTACGCATCCTCGATCGTCATATTGTCGTATAAGCCCATGGACGACTTGTTGCCGTATAAGCCCATGGAAGACTTATTGTCGTTGGTAAGAAGCAGATCTTTTTGTAATTGGGTTAACATGCTGAATGGTTCAGTAGGGCTAGACTCCAGATCATCACCACTGATGCATTGGGCTTTTGCGGCCACACTGAGAAGCCGAGCATCCTGAAAGACATCCCTAGCACTAATAATAATACCTCTTTCACGAGCAGCAGAGACAAGCATGATCACTGTCATAGAATCGCCACCGACCAGAAGGAAGCTATCGTGCCTTCCAATCGACTCAGTTGGAATATGTAGAATGTCAGACCAAAGCTGTTGCAGCTGTAACTCCATAGCAGTTTCTGGAGGGCTCTTGCTACTGTCAACAAGCGAATAATAATCGAATTCTTCCCTATTCAGTGATGCAGTCATATGCACAAGCAGTTTCCGGTCGAGTTTGGTTGATGTGCCAATCGGCATTTGTTTGCAAGGGATGAACGTTTTGGGGACCATGTATGGGGGAAGAACGTCCCCGAGACTGGTAATAAGTTCAAGGATCTGAGGCAGTATGTCATCCAGCAAGGGTAAGAATATGTGATTATTCTCGGTGTCGGCCACTAAATGCGATGGAATAGTATCATTACTGAAACAGTAATAGGCCACTAGATGGGATCCTTCTTCCCGTTTCAGAACGTCGACTGCAACTTGACGAGCCCCAGGAAGCTGTGAAAATATTTGATGTTCAATTTCGTGAAGCTCTATGCGAAGACCACGAATTTTAACTTGAGTGTCTTTTCGATCAAAATATTCCATGGTGCCGTCTGAATTGTAACGTCCTAAGTCACCCGTTCTGTAAAACCGACTCCAGCCCCTCACATCACGATGAGGTGCCCACGCCGGGAGCGAAGATACTATAGCCTCTTGCGTCTGGGATGGACTGGCCAAATATTCCCTGAAGATAGTCGGTCCTTGGTATACAATCTCGCCGACACATCCTGTGGGAACCAGTCGCATGGGATCATTTGGATCTACAATCCACCAATTGCCTAAAATAGGTCGTCCAAGAGTCATTGGGGAATCGCTTGAATCTGCCCATTCGTGTATAGAACCGATGACACATATCTCCGTTGGGCCCCAGGCATTGAAGAGTCGCAACTTCCCATGCCACATTTGGATAACATCGGAAGACGCAGCCTCACCACCGACAACAAGGATCTCCAGACTAGGTATTTCTTCAGGCCTCAAGCTACGTGCCACAGTCGGAGTACAAAATGAGGTATTTACGGAGGCTTTAGCCATATATTCCGTCAAGTTGTTCATTTGGTCGTCCCAAGATGGTATACATACGCAACCGCCGACAAAGAGAGGCGCGAAAATCTCAAATATTGATGCGTCAAAGACAAAGGAGGCAAATTGGAGCATTCTGGTTTCATTCGTAACGCCGATTCTCCGAGCCAAAGCCATCTGCGATGTACATACTGATGCGTGCTCAATAATAACGCCCTTGGGCATTCCTGTTGTTCCGGAAGTGAAGATAATGTAGGCAGCATCTGTGGGTGATACGTTAACATCAGGCCGATGCACATTTGCACCCCTCTTCAAAGTCTCATCAAATTCAGATGAAATTTCAAGAGTAAAGCGTGCCAAATTTGAACATTTTGAAGTGTTTGTCGAAGATGTCAAGATTAATGATGAGTTGGTCTGTAGGATAATTTGCTCATATCTTTGGGTAGGATGACTGGGATCTAACGGCGACCAGATTGCGCCGGCTTTGTTAATTGCCAAAACAGCGACGATATACCAAGCCGATTTGTCGAAACAGACATGAACAATATCACCACTTTTAACTTGGAAAATGTTGATGATGTGGTGGGCCAGCCTATTTGCACAGTCGTCCAGGTTTCGGTAGGTAAGGTTGACGTCCCATCCTTGCACAGCGAATGTATCTGGATGCTTTTTTGCTTCCTCTTCAATAAGAGAGTGAAGGCATCGGTCAACAGTAACGGGCGGATTCCCGTTAGCTGCAAAAGCAAAATCATACTCCCAAGGTGCTTCAACTGAAATTTGGGACAATGGAATGTCATTTGCGGTAAGCAGCTGTTCAATTACGTGCTTGAACGTGTTTGAGAGACCCTGTAGTTGGTGCTCAGGAACCACTGATAAATCACAATACAAGTCAAGATCAACAATATCCTCGGCCAGCATGCATTGGGCAACAAGAGGATAGTTCAGATAATTTTGAAGCATTTCTTCCTTGCTGTTACCCTCAATATCAGTCGTAAAGTTGAACAAACTGCTCTCGTGATTCATTTGTTGAACCGGCTGAATAATGAATAAGGTTTTGAATGCGCAAGCAGCCTTAGCTTCGTCATTCATATTTAAGATATTCTTCAGCCCGAAATGCTCATGGGGAACCATATCAGCAGCTTGGTATTGTATATCTTTGAGGAATGACGACACAGCTTGCTGATTGTCTATCCGGACACGAACAGGGACCGTGGCGACCACGAGACCGGGGATGGATTCTATGCCAGCAACTGCAGCATGGCGACCAGAGACACTGGAACCAAAACATACATCATCCACATTATTGTATCTTGCTAGCACAATTGCCCATGCTGCTCGTATAATTGTTGCCTTGGTGATATAAGTATTGGGTAGCTGTTTAAGGCTGACTGAAGTTGTGTGAAGCTTTATCTGCCTCTTTGAGTCGTTTGTATATCCTTCGCCACCTGTTGGAAAAGCTGCTAATTTCGCACCCTCCAGCTGAGCTGTCCAATATTCGGCAGATGCAGCGTAGTCCATATTCAGGTTGTACTTGACGAACCGAGAATACGAAGGGAGCGGAGAGACATCTGTGGCATCGTAATTGGCGTGCAAAGTACTCATGACCAACCGAAGGGACCAGCCATCAAAGACTGAATGATGCAACTTGAGGCAAAAATACTTGGCACCACCATAGTCAATCAGAGAATACCCACAGAGTGGCGAGCCATAATCAACATCGAGACCTCGTTGGCTGTGGACAGGCAACAAGGTCGTCTCTTCGTCATTCCACTGACATCCGTTCTTAACGACGACTTGAATGGCCGAGTTCTCCAGGATTACGACTCTTGTTCGTAAATTCGCACAAATTTCGACAGTTCGGTCCCATGCTGAAATAAATCGCAAAACATCAACTTTGTCTGCCAAGCGAAAGCAGTACTTGGCCACATAAGCGCCTGGCTGTCTCATAGTTATATTCATAAGACCCTCTTGTAATGAAGTGCAAGGGTATGCATCTTCAATCGTCTGTCCCATTGACAAGTTGCACTGTAAATCCGCGTCGCCACGCAGTAGAGCTTTGTGGGTTGATTGAGAGAGCAGAGTAAATGGCTCTGTTTCGTCAGATGCTATAGTGCAGCTATCAGTCAAAGTTATCTTGGAAGCAACAGCAAATAACCTTGGGTCATCAAACACGTCTTTGACAGAAATAGACATGCCAAACTTTCGAGCTTTTGAAACTATTTGAATTGCCACCAGGGAATCACCACCGATCTGAACAAAGTTGTCGTCACGACCGATGGATTCTGCAGGAATACCTAGTACTTCAGCCCACAGAGACTGAACACGCCACTCCATCACAGTTGCCGGTGATTCCTTTGCCGTCACCGTGTTGGATAGCGAGTACGCTGCTAATTCGTCTCGGCTAAGCAGTGCTGTGAGTTGTCGAAGTGATTTTCTATCCAGCTTGGCAGAGGTAATGGATGGCATAAACTTGCAGACAATGAACGCTGTGGGTACCATGTAGTGGGCTAGAGTTGTCTTGAGCTGTGCCACGGCGATAGATATTAACTGCTGCATGTCGTCTGAGAGCGGAATAAAGATTTCATCGGGGGTTGCCGTCAAAGATATCGGTTTATAATCCAAATTGAAACAGAGGTATGCGACCAGTGTACTTCCGCTCTCTGTATTGACTAGTTCCACTGCAACCTGATCAACAGCCATCGCTTGTGAAACCCGGTGCTCTATTTCTCCAGCCTCAACTCTGTGGCCGCGAATTTTGATCTGTGTGTCCTGACGCGAGTAGTACTCGATGTTCCCATCTGGATTGTAAAAGCAAAAATCGCCGGTTTTATACAGTCGGTCGTAGCCTGGAAGTGCTTCGCGTGGAATCCAGTTTGGCAAGTCATAAATTATTGACGCCTTGGTTTTGTCTGGAGCAGCTAGGTATTCACGTAGAAGTGTTGGGCCTTGAACGACCAGTTCGCCAACGATACCAGTGGCTGCTAATTGGGTTGGATTCCGTGTATCAAGAATCCAACAGCGGGCACCTAATGGCTTCCCTATCACAGACGGCGATTCATTCGCTGACTTCCACTCATGACTAGAGCTGATAACACAAGTCTCCGTAGGGCCCCAACTATTAAATAGACGCACTTTTCCGAACCACGCATTGTATACATCTTTAGTAGCCGGTTCACCCATCAGAGCGACTACTTCTAAGCTGGGTACCTCTGCCGGATTAATTGTGCGAATGTAAGATGGTACCAAGTAAGCCCAATTAACGTGATTTTCTTGAATAAAACCAGTGATATTGTTCATTCTTGTCCAATCTGATGGAATACAGACACAAGCGCCTGAAATCAACGAAGTGAAAATTTCGCCCACAGATACATCAAAAGTAAAGGCAGAAAATTGCAGCATTCGAGCACTGGCTGGTAATCCCAACCTTTTTGATATAGCATACAGACCAGTGCATACGGCCGCATGCTCCAAAACGATACCTTTCGGTGTACCAGTGGAGCCTGAAGTGAACAGGACATATACGGTATTGTGAGGAGATACTGGCGCAGCTGGATTGCTTGAACTGACTCCCGCGTTCACCAACTGATCATCAATTGTGCTGTTCACTTCAAGTACATTCTTGATGACCTTGGCACATAACGCGGTGTGACTTGAGGAAGCTAATGCAAGTTTGGCGCCTGTCTGGCCAACAATTTGCTGGAGACGCTGCTTAGGATGAGAGGGATCTAGCGGGACCCAAGCTGCACCGACTTTATTGATGGCGATGACTGAAATGATGTGCCAGATCGATTTTTCGAAGCATACGTGTATGAGATCTTCGACTTGAACAGAATATCTTTCGATAAGGTGATGGGCTAAGCGATTGGCGGCACTATTCAGCTGACTGTACGTAAATTCTCCATCTGGCGCGGAAACAGCGATTGCATTGGGGCGTTGATCAGCTTGGATCTCGATGAGCGTATGAAGACAGGTGTCCATGAATTGAGGTATTTCGTGGTTGACCGCAATAGCCTTCTTGAGATCCCAAGGAGAAAAGAGAGCTACCTCTCGTAGAGGTGCATCGTGTAGCGATGTAAGCTGGCATATGACATGACTCAGTTGATGGGCCAAGGCTTCAGCTTGAGCTTCAACAAGTGCGTTATCATCATAGACGATTGACAATTTAATTCTATCCTTGGAAAGATGTCCTTGGACAACCAATGGATAACTAAAGAAATTCTGAACAGAATCGGCAGGCGCATCTATTTCTTGATCTGCAGTCACAAGAATAGCGTCGCTGTCTTCATTCATCGTCTCCTGCATTGGCTGGATAATAAGAAGGCTGGAGAATCGACAAGCTTCCTTGATATCTTCACCCAACTTCATAATGTTTGGTAAGCCATATTGCTCAAAGGGGATCATCTCTAATGCCTGATCTTGCACGCTTTGAAGGTAACCAGAAACAGACTGATCTAAGTTGAAACGAATTCGGATTGGGACTGTGGCAAGTATAGGCCCAACCATGTTCATTACGTCGGGGACTGGTGCCTGCCGGCCTGAAATTGTCATACCAAAACAGATGTCATCTGTATCACAGTACCGCGAGAGAACCAAGGCCCAAGCCGCTCGAATCAGGGTTGCAGTCGTTGTATTCGAGGCAGGCAGATTGGGGAGCTTAAATGATCTCTCAAAGATGTTGGTCGTACCCGCCGAAGCCCGAGCATCGGTTAGCGATGGGTAAATCGCACGCTTGCTCTTCTCGAGCTGTGTGTTCCAATAACGTTTAGCATTATCCGCATTCAAAGATCTCATGTAACGAATAAAACGCGAGTATGGCGGTAGAGGAGATACCTCCATCCCAGAATACACTTTTTGGAGTATTGTTAAGATGTTTTGATTAGACAAACCGTCAAACACAGCATGATGGATTGCCCATAGGAAATAGCATTGCCCGTTCTCCTCCTCGACTAAGGTAGATAGAGATAAATTTGAACCGCAACTCATTTCAATGGAGCTATGCAATCGAATGACTTCGTTGAGATTCTGACCGCGAATAGAGGAAAGGTTGAATTCATCTTTCAATACGACTTGAATGTGTGCCCCATCAACGTAAATAATTCGCGTACGAAGATTGGTGCAAATTTCAGTCGTCCGTGCCCACGCTTTCTTAAAATTATCAACGTTAACATGGCGTGGTAGTCGATAAACGAATTTGGCAATATAAGAGCCCGGTTGCTTAAGAGCGAGAGCCATAAGGCCCTCCTGCATGCTAGTACAGGGATAGGCATCTTCAAGAACAGCGTGCGGCAATGAGCATTGGTTGCGCGCTATCTCAGTAATGGCCTCCTTCTGACTATTTGAACATAGACCAAAAGGTTGTATGTCATCAACGAGAACGTCTGCATTCACAGACACAGCGCTGGCCATTTCTTCCAGTTGTGGATTGTGGAAAATTATGGCCACACTAAGGCAAATATGATGCTGCTGGGCTAGAGTAACGAGCCGGATTGCACTAATGGAATCACCACCAATACGCAAAAAGCTATCCCTTTTGCTGATATCGTCTGTCTTGATATGAAGGACTTCAGCCCAAAGATCTCGAAGCTTGAGTTCCATAGGCTTAGTTGGAGCTTCCCTCTCCTCTGTTCCAGGGGCAAATTGAGAGCGTTCCTGATTTGTAATGTTTTGGGCAAGCTCTGATAGAGCACGACGGTTGACTTTCCCAGATGTCGTGTTATCAGGTTTGCCATCGAAGATAAGATAGGATGATGGAATCATATAAGAGGGCAGAGCAGTTGACAAGGCCATGTCTATGTTGGAAATCAATATCTTCTGTGTTTCAGATAGGGTACTGATCAATTTCAATGGCGATTGCCTGTTTAGTATAGTTTCATGCGTATACCACAAGAAAGCCAGGAGATTAACATGGCGCTGCTCATCTTGAGACTTGACAATGTCAACAATAGCAGTCATTTCTGCTGGAAGCGCTCTTTGGATCTGCGATTCGATTTCTCCAAGCTCTACACGCTGACCATGGAGTTTAACTTGCGTGTCTTTACGGCCGATATAGTCAAAAGTTCCATCAGCATTGCGCCGCACGAGATCGCCGGTTCGATAAGCTCTGTTGGGAAAGCCATGGGGTAGCCAGTCTGCTGTAAAGTCTTCAATCCAATTTGCTGCTTGCTCTGCGCGGACATTCAGATATCCTCGCGCCAGCATCGGGCCTTGGATGAGTAACTCTCCGATACAGCCAACAGGAACAAGGCTGTGGATATCACTGGGCTCGACAACCCAGAAAGCACTTGAAAGTGGTCTGCCCAGATTGGTCGATTTGCCTGATCGTCCGACAGTCGAATTCCAGGCGCAAATAGAAGCCTCGGCTGGGCCGTAGAGACCGTGCAGCTCTGTGTAATCTTTCCACCTGTCGGCAGTTTTCTGGCTTATCGCCTCTCCTCCAAGGCAAACCACACGGAGTGTCGGAACATCAGCAGGATTGACAAGGTCCGCCACTGTAGGTGTAAGGAAAACCCAGTTGGCTTTGGTCTTGTTGATGGCGCCAGGGAGGTCATTAAGTCGATCATGGTCTGACGGGACGCAAAGGCAGCCACCGCGCATCAGGGTAACTAAGGTATCCAAAACACCGACGTCAAAGGTGTAAGCAGAAAACTGAAAAACGCGTGTACCAGGCTCAATTTGAAGACCGTGTCCGTAAGCAGCTGCTGAAGAACAGAGAGCGTCATGCTGAATAACCATGCCTTTCGGTTTACCAGTACTACCAGACGTGAACAAAACAACAGCTGCATCAGAAGGGCTTCCGGGGTGTTGTGAGGAGACAGTAGTCTCAGGCAAAGTGTCTAAGAAATGACCATCGATGGCAACAGTGGAAACATCTAGGTCTTGCATCGTGGACTCACAGCAAGGGCTTGTAAGAGCAATTGTAGCCTTGATGTCATTCAGAATGCTTCTAAGACGAGTTTGTGGTGCTTTCGGGTCAAGCGGGACAAAAGCACCGCCTGCCATTTCCACTGCAATCATCGTCACAACAGCCCATATAGACTTAGGAAAGCACACAGGCACAAGCACCTCTGGACCTATGCCAAGCTGTTGAAGCTTTATAGATAAGCGAGAAACTAGGGTTCCAAGCTCAGCATAGGTAAGTTCACCGTCCCACGACGCCACGGCGGGTGAATCTGGGTGGGTGCGGATGGCATCCTGAATCAGCCAGTGGGTACAAGATTGCGTAGAAGATATCGGCAATTGCGAATCCACAGCATGCTTAATGTCCCAGTCTCCGACAAGAGAGATTTGCTCAAGACACACATCATGAGCAAGCTGCTGAACGACGTGCTCAATCTGGTATGAAAGCGCTTCGACTTGCTTCTCTGTCAACACTGCTGGATTGAAGAATAGGCGCTGTTCCACGTTGTCACCAGCTATTCCATAGATAAGAACAAGAGGATAGTTAAAGTATGATTCCATCGTGTCTTCAGTTAAAGCCCTCTCAGCCCCTCCAGACAAGAGTATTGCATCCTCGGAATCGTCTCCTGAGGAGGTGGGGGGTTGAATAACGAGTAAACTAGAGAAATTGCAAGCTGCCTTCGAGTCAGAGCTCACATTTGCTATATTTTGTATTCCGAACTGTTCGAATGGAACCATGGCTGTGGCTTGGTTCTGAACACCGAGAAGGAAATCGGAAGCCTTCGCCTGAGTATCAAGGTGAATGCGGACCGGCACAGTGGCAATTGCCAGCCCTGGCATCACTTCTATACCATGGACTGGTGCTTGACGACCAGAAACAGTTGTGCCAAAGGTGATATCGTCGCTGCCGCTGTAGCGGGCAAGAACAATTGCCCAAGCTGCACGCAGAATGGAAGCTTTAGTAATTGACGACCGTTCTCTATGAGGCATAGAAATAGTTCGTCGGTGCACCTGGGTAGATTGGTCGTCGTTAACAGCATTTGGTCCGTTAAGGAGTGGGAATGTGGCTCGTTTAGAACCACGCAATTCGTTGTGCCAAAACTTGGTCGCAGCATCGTGCTCGAGAGATAAAGTGTATTTGATGAATCCACTGTACGGGTGCAATGGTTCCATATCTGTCTTTCGATAAACAGACTCCAGGGTACTCATGATGATTTGAATTGTCCATCCGTCATAAATGGCATGATGAGCAGACCAGATGAAATAGTTAGCCTCTGTATCGTGCAGAATTGCATACCAACAAAGAGGGGTGCCATAAGTCATATGAGAGTACCGGTCTGAGCGGAGAAGGGAAGAGAGGGTCTCGTTATCTGTTGCTCTCCAGTGTAACAAATCTTTGACCAATAACTGGATCGATGAACCATTAAAGAGAATTATTCTCGTACGTAGAGCGTCACATAGCTCGACAGTTTTATTCCAGGAAGCCCTGAAACGCTCAATATCAACGTGATTTGGAAGTTTGTAGACATATTTGGCCACATATGATCCTTGCTGCTTTACTGATAATGCCATGAGGCCCTCTTGCAAAGACGTGCATGGATATGCATCTTCAATGGCACTTTGTGATATATCACATTGATCAGCTGCTTGTCTGATGATGACATCTCTAGTCAACTCTGGTAGAAGGCTAAATGGCGATGTGATTTCGTCCGTTTTCTCAATATTGTTACTTAGAATTGCCTTTGATGCAATTATGAGCAACCTTGAATCGTCGAAAACGTCCTTCACGTTTAGATGAATGCCATTAGCTCTTGCTTTAGACACGAGGTGTATAGCTGAGATTGAATCTCCACCAATCTGTAAAAAGCTATCATCGCGACCAATAGAATCGACTGGTATTCTTAAAATGGATGCCCAGATTGATTGGAGCTTTCGTTCTATTGCCGTTTCTGGAGGTCGTTTGGTACCATCTAGTAGTGAATACATCGACATTTGGTCATAACTTAGCAGAGATACCATCTGACGAAGGGCCTTTCTGTCGAGTTTCGTGGATGTGATCGAAGGCAAGTATTTGCATATGATGAAAAGAGTGGGGATCATATAATTGGGAAGCATCACTTTCAGCTGTCCTATCATAGCGGCAAGCAATGGTTTGAATTCAGCTGTAAGTGGCATAAATATGTCATCTAGAATAGCCTTTGAGTTCGACGATGAACGAGTCTCTTCACTGAAGCACAGATATGAGACCAAGTTAGTGCCGCCATCAGAAGTTGATATATCGACAGCAACTTGACGAATGCCTTCCAAGCTTTCGCGAATTCGATGTTCGACTTCGCTAAGTTCAACGCGTAAACCACGAATCTTTACCTGAGTATCTCTGCGGCTGCAGAACTCAATGGTTCCGTCCGGGTTATACATGGCCAAATCACCTGATTTATAAAAGCGCGTCCATTGAGGCGCTCTTTGCAATGCCCAATTGGGCAGTGATGTAATAACAGATGATCTTGTCCGCTCAGGATCATCAAGGTATTCGCGTAGAAGTGTTGGACCTTGCAGCATAACTTCACCAACGGTTCCAATGGGAGCCAACTGATCAGGGCGCTCGGGGTCAACGATCCAGCAGAATGTTCCGACGGGCTTTCCTATAGTCAATGGGGATTCGGATTCCGACTTCCATTCATGCAAAGTACTAAACACACATGTCTCAGCTGGACCCCAGCCACTGATAAATCGCACCTTGCCCACCCAAGTGTTAAAAACATCTCGTGGAGTTACCTCTCCACAGAGGAGAAGTAGCTCTAGAGTAGGGACGTCTTCTGGTTTCAAGACTCTAATAAAAGACGGTGTTAGGTAAGCCCAGTTCACACCAGTCTCTCGAATGAAGCCTGCAATGTCATTCATACGGGTGTGCTCCGAAGGGACGCAAACGCAGGCGCCTGATATAAGTGGTGAAATTATTTCTCCTATGGAGAGATCGAATACAAATGCTGCAAACTGAAGCATCCTAACGTTCGAATGAAGACCAAGTCGCTTAATGATGGCTTTCTGACTACTGCAGACGGACCGGTGTTCTATGACAAGACCCTTCGGGATACCAGTGCTGCCGGATGTAAACAGGACGTATACTGCGTTATTGGGTGACACCTTGGTGACCGGTGAGCTTGAGCTATATCCATCATTGCTTGATAACTGCCGATCAAGAGATCCTGAGACCTCAACCACCAGTGGCACAAGTCCGCTGCATAGTGCCGCATGAATTTCTGATGTCAGTACAATTTGGGCTTTTGTTTGCGTAACAATTTGGCGAAGTCGCTCTGAAGGATGGGATGGATCAAGGGGGACCCATGCAGCACCGGCTTTGTTGATCGCTAAAATTGATACAAAGAACCAAGCTGACTTGTCGAAGCAAACGTGGATGAGTTCATCTAGTTTAACTCTATGCTGAGCCATCAGATGATGCGCTAGACGATTCGCTGCGCTGTCCAATTCCGCATAGGTGAAGCTACCATCCCAAGCGCAGATGGCCATGGCATCTGGTGTCTCTAGAGCTTGCCTTTCAAAAAGCTGATGGAAGCAATTTTCTATTACTTCTGGCACCTCGGGATTAAACAAAACGGCCTTGTGGCGATCCCAAGCAGAAGCAATTGTGATGGCGCCAATATTCGACTGCAAATTCAGGACAAGCTCCTTAGCTAAATGCTCAAACTGGTGCGATAATGCCACAATTTGCTCTTCAGAGAGGACTGCAGTGTTGTAGATGAGAACAAGTTGGGTGGAGTCATCGTGCAGGTGTCCCTGAATAACGAGTGGATAGCTAAAATAATTCTGATGGGCATATTCACCAGTGCTAAGTTTCTGATCAACTGAAGTAAGAATTGCATCACCAGTGCTTAAAGGATCCAAAGCCTCTTTCGGCTGGATAACTAATAAGCTAGAGAACTCGCAGGCATCTTTGGCATCGCTGTTCAGCTTGCGAATGTTTTGTAGGCCGAATTGTTCAAATTCCACCATCCCAAGGACTTGCTCCTGGACTTGATTCAGGAATGTAGTGACTGATTTCTGCTGATCGACTCGGATTCGCATGGGGACTGTTGCAATCGCTGGGCCCGGCATATCTATTATCCCAGGCATCCGGGCTTGTCGGCCTGATATCGTTGTGCCAAAGCAGACATCGTCACTATCGCAATAGCGTGCAAGAAGAACAGCCCACGTCGCTTGAAGAACTGTAGCTCTTGTGACGCCTGGTATGCTTAATTCTGGAAGATCAATATTCATAACCATAGATCGAACGCCGTTCGAAGGTTCCGATTGATCTTTGCTAGCAGCGGGAGGGAACGAGGCCTTCTTAGCATCACGAAGCTGCTCTGCCCAGTAATCAGAAGCGGACTGGAAGTTGAGTTCCATGGTGTATTCAATAAATCGAGAATAAGGCGTCAATCGTGCCACGTTCAGTCCTTTATACACGTCAAAAAGCGTGTAAAGACAAACTCGGATAGACCAGCCGTCAAATATCGCATGGTGCATGGTCCAGATGAAATGTATCTGATTATTCTTCTCTCGGATCAACGCATAACGGCAAAGGCGAGACCCATATTCCGCTTTTACATCTTGGATTGACTGGCGATACGACGCTACTGTCATACCGTCTGTATCATCCCAAGTATCGCTATTAATCACTACTTGGATCGACGAGCCATTGAAGTGGACAATCCTTGTTCGGAGAATGCCACACAGTTGCACCGTTTTCTCCCAGGCTGTTTTGAAGTTGGAGACATCCACATGGTCTGATAAGCGATAGTGAAAGCTCGTCATATACGATCCAGGCTGCTTCACGGCCAGGGCCATGAGACCTTCCTGCAGGTGGCTGCAAGGATATGCATCTTCAATGTCCATCGAATGGACCAAATTCAGCTCCTTCCTCATTCGAGCCGTTGAGAGATGATCTCGAACCTGTTGTTGTAAAAGGCTAAATGGCTTTGCTACTTCGGAACGATTTGACACAACGTCAATAGAAACTGCTTGGAGAGCAACAGAAGAGAGCCGAGAATCTTTAAAGATGTCACTGGCTCGAAGCTCAATACCATAATCGCGAGCCAAGGCAATAAGACGAATGATTGCAATAGAATCACCACCAATTGCCAAGAAGCTGTCGTGTCTGCCAATTGACTGAACAGGTATCTTCAAGACTTCCGCCCAAATTTTCTGCAGATCGAGTTCCATTTTTGTTTCTGGGCGAGATTTGACCTCGTTCACCGCACATAACGAATACTGCTCAAGACATTGCACATCTAGTACAGCAGCAAGGCGGAGCAGTGATTTTCTGTCCAATTTAGAAGACGTCACTAGTGGCATCTTCTTGCACGGAACAAAGAAAGTTGGCACCATATAGCCCGGTAGCGAAGATATTAAAGAACCGCGCAAGGCTCCTAAGCTGCTCTTCAGCTCGTCGGTCAAAGGAAGAACGATATCTCCACTAGTCATGTTATTGGTCATAGTTGCTGGAATAGTATCACTATTCTGGCATACGAATGCAACTAGATTAGTACCAGCTTCACTCCTGAGCGCTTCGACGGCTACTTGGCCCGGTGTATCCATGTTCTTGCGAATGTGGTGTTCAATTTCTCCCAACTCTATACGCAAGCCACGTATTTTAATTTGCCCGTCTTTGCGGCTGCAGTACTTTATGGTGCCGTCAGAATTATAAACGGCCAAATCTCCGGTTCGATAGAATCGATTCCATAGTTCACGATTTGGAGTCCACTGTGGGAGGGAGTTGACCGTGGCAGCAGCTGTTTTCTCTGGATCCGCAAGATATTCTCGTAGCAAATTCGGTCCTTGGACAACTATCTCACCAACCGTTCCCACAGGGGCCAATTTAGTTGGATCTTCAGGATCAACAATCCAACAATTGCCACAGATGGGTTGACCGATAGTTAAATGCGATCCCTGGATAGAGGTAGATTTGACTTCGTGAACTGTGGCGATGACAGCTGTTTCGGTAGGACCCCAGGCATTAAACAGCCGTACTTTACCTAGCCAGGTATTAAAGACCTCTTTGCTCGGCGCTTCACCACCAATTGTAACAAGCTCTAAGCTGGGCACATCTTGAGGTTTAAGGATACTGGCAACCGAGGGAGTCAAACATGCCCAAGTAGCATTGACATCTCGGATAAAAGCGGGCAATGAGTTGATTTGCATCTCCCACGAAGGGATGCAAACACAAGCGCCTGAAATGAGTGGAGATAGTATTTCGAAAATCGATGCATCGAACACAAATGAGGAAAATTGAAGCATTCGAACGCCATCATGCATACCGAGTCTCTGACTCAGAGCAACCTGGCTGCTGCAAATGGCTCTGTGCTGGATGACAACACCCTTGGGAACGCCCGTCGATCCGGATGTGAAAATTATATATGAAACATCATCAGAACTGACTTTCACATCGGGTTTGCCTGCATATGCTTCAATATCTCGGAGCTCGGAAATGAATTCCGCGTTCACTTCAAGGACTTTTGCAACTAGTCGGCTGCACTTGAGCGAATTCGAAGGCGTACAAAGAGCCAAAGTTGATCCAGTTTGCTTAACAATACTTTGGTGACGTTCAGTTGGATGCGATGGATCAATGGGTACCCAAGCAGCACCAATCTTGTTGATAGCCAAGATCGCTACAACAAACCAGGCAGATTTGTCAAAGCAAACCATGACTAGGTCGCCAGCTTTCACTTTCAACACATTCATCAGATAATTAGCCAGCCTATTGGCATTCTCATCCAGTTCAAAATAAGTGAAATCAGCATCCCAAGAACAAACTGCAGCAGAATCCGGGTTTATTTTTGTTCGTTCTTCGATAAGTGTGTGGATGCAAGTATCAACAACTTGAGGCGCGTTGGGGTTAGCAGCACGGGCGAATTGAATATCCCACTGGCTGGTCATGGACAGAGTATTGAGCGGCTCTTCGTATCGAGAAAGTAATTGTTGAATAATCTGCTCAAACTGATTGCAAAGACATTGAAGCTGGTGATCGGACAGTATATCGCCATCGTAGTACAGCGTTAGAACCGCTTGGTTATCAACCAGATCGCATTCCACCGTCAATGGATAATTGAAAAAGCTTTGCATCCAGTTCTCAATACTTGTCTCGTCATTCAAATTAGGTGCAAAAAGCTTCCTATCATGATTTTCGACCTGTTGTTGCTGCTGACTTGCCTGAACAACAAACAAGCTGGTGAAGTCAGTAGCGTCCTTGGCACTAGCACTGAGCTTTGACATGTTTTGAAGGCCGAACTGTTCATAAGCCACCATCTCACTGGCTTGGGTCTGGAGATTTTGCAGGAACTCAGAAACGCGCTGCGTACGATCAAGGCGGATTCTCACAGGGACTGTGGTGATCGTAGGGCCAGCCATATCCATCAAGTCTTGAACTGGCGCCTGTCGACCTGACATAGTTGTACCAAAGCAGATATCGTCAGTCTCACAGTGCAGACTGAGGACGAGTGCCCAGGCGCCCCGAAGTACAGTAGCCTTCGTTATAGATGAGTTAATTTGGGTTGGAATCGTAAAGTTTCTCTTCATAATTTGGATTCCTTGAGCCGCTGACGTGTCTGATTCAGTTGCCAGCTTTGGTGGTGGGAATGAAGCCCTTTGGGCACCTTCTAGCTCCTCAGTCCAGTAATTCATAGCCGCTTCCTGGTCCAATTGTGAGACGTATTGGACAAAGTTTGCGAATGGGCGAAGAGTCGGGAGAGAATCTTGGGCGTAAGAACGCTGAAGGACGTCAATGTTGATCTGCATAGTCCATGCGTCAAAGATTGCATGATGCGCAACCCAAACAAAGTACGTTGGTCCATTGGGAGTGCTAATTATCGAATGCCGCGAAAGGCGAGATCCATACGTCATATCGATGTTCTCAATCTCATTCATGTAATCGTTGAGGGTTTGTGCATCAGTCTCGTCCCAGCACGTAGCATGGGACACCACAGCTTGTAGCGGCACATCTCCGTCCAGCACAATCCTTGTTCTCAAGTTGCTGCAGGCCCTAACAGTTTGTTCCCAAGATTGTTTGAAACGACCCAGGTCAATGTTCTCCATCAGCTTGTACACCCGCTTGGCGATATAAGAACCAGGCCGTGTGGCAGTCAAAGCCATAAGGCCTTCCTGTAGCGGTGTACAAGGATATAAATCTTCAAGATTTTGTTCTCTTGAAAGCTGACATTGTCGGCGAATGGCACTAGTTAGAGATTTCCGCCGTGTCTCCTCGATCATACCAAAGGGTTGGACATCGGTAGTCGTTTCGTGTCCAATAACCATCGAGGTAGCCATCGAGGCCAGCTGAAAGTCTTTGAAAATGTCTGCGATGGCAAGTTGTATATTCTCTTTTGCAGCAAGATTCGACAGGTAAATTGCGGAAATTGAATCGCCGCCAATTTCCAAAAAGCTGTCAAACTTAGATATTTCTGCAGCGTTGATATACAAGACCCGAGCCCACAGACTTTGAAGTTTCAACTCCATTTCAGTGGTTGGTGATACCTTATCTTGGGCAGCTATCGAAAATTCTGACAACACTTCGCGGGGCATGTTTGTCGCAAGTTCACGAAGCATCCTTCTGTCGATCTTATTTGAGGCTGTATAGGGAAGTTCCCGGAGAGGGAAGATGATACTTGGGATCATATAGCCTGGTAACACACGTCGTAGTTCAAGCATAAGATCTTGGAAAGAAGAAACGAGTTGTTCATCTTTAATAAAGTTGCCGTAAGGGTCGGTAACATCTGCCGTAGTGTCACACAAGTGGCTCTTGAACGTGATAAAAGCAATGATCATCTTGCCAGCTTCACGCTCGATGAGGTCTACTACAGTATGCTGCACATCTGCAAGTTTGGCCTTGATATTGTACTCAATCTCGCCGAGTTCCAGACGCTGACCACGTATCTTGACTTGAGTATCTTGCCGTCCAAAGAACTCGATTGTTCCATCGGGGTTGAATCTTGCAAGGTCGCCGCTCTTATAGACTCTAGGTCTACTGCTAGATGTAACACTGGGTAGCCATTCTAAGTCATCGACAAAGGACGCTTTTGTCTTTTCCTCGTTGTTGATGTAGCCACGTGCAATTGCATGACCCTCTATAACCAATTCGCCGATGCATCCAATCGGGGCGAGGCGATTGTGATTGTCCGGATCCACGATCCAAAGTCTGTGAGCAAACGGACGTCCAATATTTGTAGGCGAATCGTCCTGTGACTTGAATACATGCCCGGCAACATCTACACAAGCTTCCGCAGGACCATAGGCATTGATAAGCACAGCTCGTCCGTGCCATTTGCTCAAGATATCTCTTGTGGGAGCCTCTCCACCAATGCAGAGGGTCTGTAGAGTTGGAATAGTATCAGGGTCGATCGTTCCAATGAATGAAGGCGTCAAACATGTCCAGGTGACCCGGGCTTCTGTCATGAATCGCGATGTGTTGCCCACTCTCTCGGTTTCTGTGGGAACACAAACGGTAGCTCCGACAAAGAGTGAAACGAATATCTCCAAAATGCACACGTCAAATACGTAGGTTGCAAATTGGAATGTTCGGGTAGACTTGTCAATGCTGAACTTCTCAGGGTGACGCAATAGGGAAGTGCAAGCAGCAGAGTGCGACATGATCAGACCTTTAGGTTTTCCTGTAGAGCCAGAAGTATAGAGGACGTAGGCCGCATTGTGAGGCTCGGGCTTCTTGTAATTGCTTAGTTCATGATAGGCTTTTGTGGTTTTAGGAGCATCTGTCAACAGGGAGGAGGAAATCTGGACGATGTGCTGAGCCATTCCTTCACACGATGAGGTTGTAGATGGTGAAGTAATTATCACCTTGGCATTGACCTCCTGAATCAAGGCCAATCGTCGTGACTCCGGATGCGAAGGATCAAGTGGCATAAACGCACCACCAGCTTTTAAAATACCGATCATGGCGACGACGGCCCATATAGATTTCTCCATACAAAACGGCACCACTGTTTCCGGCTGGACGTCGTGTTGCACAAGTTGATATGCGACGAGGTCAGAAAGATGCTCCAGGGCAGCATAGTTAAGTGACCCTTCCGACGAGTACAAAGCTTCATCACCGGGACACGACTGTGCCCGTTTGGATATGATATCATGCATACAACGTTCTTCGATCACGACTTCGTGGGCATTCCAATCCCTGCTCTGCTGTAGATCCCAAGGCCCTGCTATAGCCACATCACGAAGCAACTTCTCTTTGCCCAGAGATACGAGCTGCCGGGTGATGTGGTCAAGCTGATGAGTTAATGCCAGAACCTGCGATTCAGATATAACGTCCGCATTATAGACGAACTCTAGTTCGACAGTATTATCACCCAGGTGGCATTGCAGATTGAGAGGATAGTTGAAATAGTCCTCCATTGACCTCCATGCAAGCCGTTGCTCTGTTCTTGTGGAAACAATGATTGCGTCATCCCCGTCAAACCCACTGGTTATTTCTTTCGGCTGAACGATCATGAGACTGGTAAAGTTACAGGCGTCTTTCGCATCTGAGCCAAGTTTAGCTATGTTCTGTAGCCCAAATTGCTCGTGCATCACCATTTCCGTTGACTGCCTCTGAACATCGCTAAGAAATTCTGATAATAGTTTGTCTGGGTTCAACCGAATTCTTATAGGAAGTGTAGCAACAACCAGGCCAAGGACATTCTCTACACCTGCAAGTGGAGCATTTCGACCAGAAACCGAGGCACCAAAGCAAACATCATCTGTACTACAGTATCGTGCCAGAAGAATCGCCCAAGCGGCTCGAAGATACGTTGCTGTGGTAATTGCCCCATTGGTTGACTTTGGGGTTTTAATTTCCCTTGCGCAGATACTTATGTTCCTTTCGGATTTGGTGTTGATAATATCATCTCTCGGTAAAGGAAACACAGCTCGCCTTGCTCCAGCTAATTGCGTCTTCCAGAACTTTTCCGAACTATACAAGTCAAGTTGAAGCGTGTACTGTACGAAGTTAGAGTATGTGCCCAGCATCGGTGCCTCGATATTATGGTATATCGAGTGGAAAGTCTTGACCACAAGAGCTAGAGACCATCCATCGAACACGGAGTGATGCGAAATAAAGACAAAATAGTGATCGCCATTGTCATCATTGACGAGTGCGAAACGGGATAGAGGTGATCCATGGGACATGTGGATGTCACTCGCACATCTTAGGAAATCATCCATATTCTGATTATCAGTCGATTCCCACCGCGCAGGCTCTTTGACAATAACTTGGAGAGACGATGCGCTATTGAGCTGAACAATCCTCGTACGCAAATTACTGCAGAGAGCGACTGTACGATCCCAAGAAGCCTTAAAATGGTCGATATTGGCACTTTTAGCAAGCTTGAATATCATTTTCGCGACATACGCTCCTGGTTGTTTCGCAGTGAGCGCCATCAATCCTTCTTGTAGCTTAGTACAGGGAAATGCATCTTCTACAAGATCCCAGCTAGCCAAATCGCATTGCTTGAGCAGTTCCTCTCTCATAGTTAAGTCGGTGTGATGTTGTTTAAATAGTTCGAAAGGTGCAACGCTGCAAATCTTGGAATCTCCGTTCATCTTGTCGGCGACAGCAGCTACTTTCCATAGCCTTGGGTCGTCGAAGACGTCTTTGACAGTGAGTGAGATTCCGGCTTGGCGAGCATCAGCCACAAAGTGTATTACAGTGATGGAGTCACCGCCGATTTGCAAGAAGCTATCATCTCTTCCAATAGACTCCAGTGGCATGTTCAGCCTCTTTGCCCAAATGGCTTGTAGCTTACTCTCCATTGCTGTCTCTGGTGGATTTTTGACAGTGTCAACAAGTGAATAAGTGGACAGGCTCTCAGAATCCAGCATTTCGATATGTTGCTTCAAAGTACGCCTATCCAACTTGGTCGAAGTAATCGATGGCATATATCTGCAGGGGACAAATAATGACGGTATCATGTATCTTGGAAGGTTCACAGACAGATGTCCAATCATGCCAGCAATTTGGCTCTTCAACCGGCTTGTGATCGGGAGGAACATTGCAGTGTCTCCATCTGCAGCGGTGTCGGCTGTAGTTACCACTCTTGTCTCGGTACTGAAGCAAAAGAAGGCAGCCAGACTCGAGCCAGCCTCTGTGTCAATTTTATCCACCATCACATGATGAACTCCATCAAGATATGCCTTGATCTGGTGCTCCACTTCACCTAATTCGACTCGAAGACCTCGGATTTTGATTTGAGTGTCCTTTCTTGTAATAAATGCAATCGTTCCGTCTGAGTTATATTTACATAGGTCGCCAGATTTATAGAATCGGTCCCAGTGGTGTGAATTGCGGTTGGGTGCCCAATTCGGCAAAGGCTTAACTGTTGTAGATTCGGTTTTGGCAGGATCTGCTAGATATTCTCTGAGCAACGTTGGTCCTTGGATAACCACCTCACCGATGGTTCCAAAGGGTGCCAGGTGATGTGGATTCTCAGGATCAACAAGCCAACAGAAACCACCGACAGGTCTGCCAATTGTCAAAGGAGAGTCATCTAGAGATTCGAATTCGTGCAGTGTACTAAAGACACAGGTCTCGGCAGGGCCCCATCCGTTGATGAGACGAACTTTTCCAACCCAAGTCTCCAATATATCGCGACTCACAGCCTCGCCAGCAAGAAGCAATAGCTCCACCCCAGGGATTTCATCCGGGTTTAAAGTGCGAGAGAATGAAGGAGTAGAATATACCCAATTGATCTTCATCACGCGTATATACTCAGCAAGTCCGTTCATTCTAACTTCTTCAGATGGCACACATATACAAGCGCCAGCAATCCAGGGGCCAACAGTCTCTCCAATTGACATATCAAAGACATATGATGCAAATTGTAGAACTCTGATACCCGACGTCATTCTGAGCCGTTTAATGGCAGCAGTTTGACTGGTGCAAAGAGCCCTGTGCTGCATAACGAAACCTTTAGGAGTTCCAGTGCTTCCAGAAGTGAAAAGAACGTAACAAGCGTCACTTGGGGATACTGAGCGTGGACTCTTGCTACCTTGTTTTCGGGTTATCAGCATCTCGTCAAGAGTAGCAGAAACTTCAACGACATTGTCGACTAAATCAGCACAAAGAGGGGTGTTGTTAGGCGAGGCTAACGCAAGCTTTGCCTTTGTCTGCATTACAACCTTCTTATGGCGCTGCAGGGGGTGAGAGGGGTCGAGAGGAACCCAAGCAGCCCCAGCCTTATTGATCGCCAAGATGGATACGAAGAACCAAGCGGATTTTTCGAAACAGACATGAACAAGATCGCGTGCCTGAAGCGCACAATTATCAATAAGATAGCTGGATAGTCTATCAGCAGCAAGATTAAGCTGGCTATAGGTCAACGTCAAATCGGATGCATGAACGGCCATCGCGTCCGGTCGCTCCAGAGCGTGGTCTTCAATGACTTGATGTAAGCACGATGAAATAATATCTGGCTCTTCGCTATTGCATTCTATAGCGCGCTGCAGATCCCAGGGGCCGGATACTGTTATAGACTTTAAAGGAACATCATCTTGTTCAAGGAGCTGTTGAGTAATATGCTCAAAATGGTAACATAAAGCCTCCAACTGGCCCTCGGTTAAAACATCGTTATAGTAAGTGAACTCCAGTTCGATCGCATCATCTCCAACGCGAGTTTGAAGAACTAACGGATAATTGAAATAGTTCCTCATGGCTTCCTCTGATATCGCCTTTTCTTCTATGCCTTGTTGAAGAATCGAGTCCGACGAGGAGTAAGCTGCTGAAGAGAGATGCTGCATTGGTTGGATAACAAGCAAATTGGCAAAATCACAAGCCTCCCCAGCACTTTGCCCAAGCTTAGAGATATTTTGCAGTCCAAACTGTTCATGAGCAACCATTTTAGACGCATGTGACTGAATATGCTGTAGAAATTCGGAAACTGGCATTTCCCGATCAATCTGGACTCGAACAGGTACAGTAGCAATCATAGGCCCTGGAATTTCGTTTAAGCCGGGTACAGGAGCTTGTCGGCCAGACAAGGTCATACCGAAGCATACATCGTCATTGCCACAATACTGAGCAAGAAGAAGAGCCCAGGTGGCGCGAAGAATAGTTGCCGTGGTTATTGCTGCTTTTGGGTTCTGGAATGGTATGGATTTCTTCATAACACAATCTTGAGATTTCGCAGTTATAGAAGCGGTAGGGAATTGGGATCGCTGTGAACCCTCTAATTCTCTCCTCCAGTACTCGCGAGAGGAGTCGAAATCGAGCGACCCAATGTACCGAATGAAGTTCGAATATGGTGGTAAGGCCTCTATGCTGGAGTTCGCGCTGAGATAGGATCTTTGTAAAGCATCAAGTACAATTTTCATACTCAGACCATCAAAAACAGCATGGTGGACAATCCAGATGAAATATGTGTCTCCGTTCTCCTGGTGTAACAGCGTGTTTCGACTGAGACGATCCCCATAACTCATAGGAACGCTTCGAGTCTCGTTCAAATATGTATTCACGTCCGTATTCGAAACAGGAGCCTCCCATGTAGTATCAGTTGTAATGACAGCCTGCCATGCTTCGGAGTTAACCAAGGCTATCCTTGACCGTAGACTGCCGCAGTGCCTGATGACCGCGTCCCAAGAGGCCATAAAATGATCAATGTCAACATGCGGCATTAGCTTGTAAACCTGCCGATGAATGTAAGATCCAGGTTGCCTAAGTCCAAGCGCCATAAATCCCTCTTGAAGTGTCGTGCAAGGGTAAATATCCTCAATTGTTCCGACACCGAGGTTGCACTGCTTCTGCATTTCGGTTTTGATACCATCTATGCTGCTTTGTGGAATCAAACTGAATGGCTTAGCATATCCCAATTGCTCAGTCTCATCGATAGTAGCAACAGCGGCCATCTGTGCCAGCCCAGGGTTCTCCATAATGTCTATCGGGGACAGACGGATCCCATGTCGATAAGCAGTTGTGGCGAGCTCAGTCATCGTTAGAGAATCGCCACCAAGGAGGAAGAAATTGTGCCGCCTGCCGATATCTTGGATACGGATCTGAAGCACATTACGGAGTACATCTGCCCAAAGAGCTCGCAGGATTAACTCCAGCTCAGTCTTTGGAGTTTCTTCAGCTGGGAGGCTCGAAGTCGTCATCAATGCAGCTCTTGTGATGATGTGCGCCCGTCTATCTGTTACCGATAATGGCACTTCTTCGGTATCCAAGAGACCACTATCGTCATAACTGCTGTAATTCCATGGGTATTGAGGCAGTCCAGATATTGCTTTTCCAGTGAACAATGGACCTAGTTTCAACACCACGGAGTTCTGCCAAAGTCGACCAATCGCCGATAGGAAGCTTGCCACACAATCTTTCTCTCTAAACTGGGATGAGATATAGTTGCAAGGTACAGAGATGGTAGAGCATATCTGTGAAAGTGGCCCAGAGAGAGTTGAGTGCGGTCCAATCTCCAGGAATAAGCTGTGCTGAGAGGTAGTCCTAAGCAGAGACGAAACCGCGGAAGAGAAGCGAACAGGTGAGATCAAATTGTTGGCCCAATACTTGGGGCTGAAGTCTTCGGCAGCATTGAGAATGCTGTTGTGGACGCTCGACACAAAAATGGCCTTTCTCGTTCGCTGCTCTGGCGAGGCAATTCCCTCAGCTTCTAGTAGCCTCAGAAGTTTAGAAGAGATTGAATCCATATGGTGCGAGTGAAAAGCTGTGCCGACATGTAACTTTCGCGTGGTTACTTGCGGCCTAGACATTTTGATCAAAGCCATGACCTCCTCTATCACATCGCGGTCGCCAGAGATTGTTGTGCTCATGGGGCTGTTTTCACAGGCCACAACGGCGCCTTCACGCAAGAACTCTTTGGTATCTTCAGCGCTCAGACCTGTCACCGCCATGGTTCCATCGAATGTGCTCATCGCAGCGGCATGGCCATAGTAATATGCCGTAACAATTGCGCCCTTCAGAGTAAGAAAACCCGAGGCGTAGGCTGCTACAATCTCGCCGCTCGAATGACCAATGACAGCCTCTGGCGTAGCCCCCATACGCTCGAATTGATGAAAAAGTGCAATCTGCAAAGCGGTAGACAGCGTACAAGCTGTTTCCACGGAATTAATTCGACATAGAGGGTCGGTGGATGATCGTTGGATTTCCTCTTCAATCGTCCAAGAAGGCGGATTCTTCAGTTGACGCAAGATGTCGTCCATGCTTTTAATGTCATTTCGAAATCCATCGAGCTGGAAAAGTTCTTTGCCCATGCCTGCCCACTGCGCTCCCTGGCCACTGAATACCATCGTGATGGAAGGAGGCTCAGCCGGGCATTTTGCGTGGTTCGCAGTACTCAGGCATTCTCCATCGACTCCGAGAAGAGAAAAGGCGCGGTGATTGAATGCCTCTCGGCGTAAAGCACGAGTATAGGCAACATCAGAGACGAGTTGCGGGTGTGCCTTGGCGTAATCATGGTGAAGCTGTATCTGCTGATTGAGAGAAGTCGCGTTGCCTGCTGAAAAGAGGACAAGGTCTGGGCGAGAGCGATTCTCGTTCGTTGAAGAATCGTTGTTTCGATACGATTCAACGATAACGTGGGCTCCAATGCCCGCAGTTCCAAGATAGTTGATGCTGACTCTCTCAGCTCGACCAGATGGAAATTCGCGAGGTTTTGCAAACGCACTGAACTTCTGGCTTGGAAATTGGCCTGTGTGATTATGTAAGCATTTTGGCTCCCCAACTACCAGCAGACATTGCTCTCTGAGGTTCTTACCGTTTGATGCATCTGGCATAGAAGGCAGAATTGTTTGATGCTTTATGGAAATCATGGCCTTGATCAAGCTGATAAGGCCCGAAGCACTTTTCAAGTCGCCGATGGCATGGCGAGAGGAGCAAAGAGAGGTATCGCTCCCTTCAAAAACACGTTCAAGGGCCGAGAGCTCGATCTGGTTTCCAGCAAAACCGGCATCGTAGCACTGCATTCGTTAGTTTCTCACTTCTTCCGGGAGAAAAACCGGATTGTCTCTTTTGACGGGAGAAAACTTACCTCGATCACTGCTGTATCACGTGGATCCAACCCAGCGGCATCATAGGCCTCGCGTATCATGTCTGCATAGACATTCGCTCCAGAACTCGCCGATTCTCGAAACTCACGGCCGTCGTATGCGTTGGTAGCACATATGACGGCTTGGATTGGGTTTCCATCGCGTACCGCATCATTCAGTGGCTTAAGAAACACTGCCACAACCGCTTCTCTGTCAGAAGCATCCGCATCGATCTCCGCGGCGGTCATCAAGTTGATGCCCGCCACGAGAGCCGCTTTGGCATCGCCATTCTTCATGGTGTTACACGCTTCATGAAGTGCCATCAGTGATGCGGAAGGATCCGCATTTTCAATCATTACGCTGAAACATCATTGATAGTTAGCCACCACTTGTTGATGAAAACGGGGATTGAGTGATTCAGCTCGAAGCTCGGGCTGTGCTTACCTTGGTCCTTGAAGGCCATATTGTTGAGACACATGGTCCGCAATAGAGGTGTGTCCGACTCCTTTCGACACAGGTTCTTCATTACTAGGCATTGCCAGATAGCAAGCTACAGCCGCAGCCTTTCCGCGATAACTGACCTCGCATGCATCTTCTAGGCATTCACGCGTAAGTTCGAGGAGTTTCTGCTCATATGGTCCAAAATTGGCTGGTCCCTCAGCAGTCGTGAAGGAGAATGCATCAACGGAGTCGTGACCTTCACTTAATCGACTGCCACGCATATCACACCCTTTACTCTGGGCTCCAGGTGCAGAACCGCGGGCATCCAGGTCACCGGCCAATAAATTCCAAAACTCCTCGGTACTGCGGATACCACCTGAGAGTCGCATACCAACTCCACAGATAGCGATGGGGAACTGGTCTGCAGTTCCATTGTAGCTCTTGGAGAAGTTGACAGAGGCATTGATGCTACCTCCAGCCTCAGCCGCTTCGGCCGAAGACTTAATTCCAGACATATTAAAAGTTGTAATTAGTACTTTGAAGCAAATTAATTAAACAAAAAGTATAAACTCAACCGATATCGTATATGTATCGACCAAGACGCTTGCTGGAACGGCTAGGTGGGAAGTTGGTGGGAATCAAATGGTATAAAAGGGAAACTCCTTGCAAGGATAGACAATACAGCTCCTACTCATATTACGAGTACTTCGTAATACCTGATGACATTACTGTCACAGCAGGCCAAGGCCTAGCCAATGACAGTACCCTACTCTCCGCGTCAGTCAATGTCTCACAGAGTTTTCAACACTTACTAGGATGCGGCCATGCTCAGGTGCACAGGTAGGGTCCCAGTCGACTTACCGCCATTGTCCCGTGCGTCAATCCCTTTGGTGAACAATCTTCTAGGGATCTAAGACCAATTCAGCTCCAGAGCCTTGGTATTCATGATGCTTCATGCAAAGTCGAGGGCGGTTGCTTCAAACCTGTGCACGAGCACGCCACCAAATGCACAGTTACAATACTACAAGTACATATATCTCACAAACTGGGTAGGCTAGAGTGATACACTCGATTGTAAGATGATATACAGAATAGATGCAAACCCTGAAAAAGCCATCCAATGATGCATATTGTGCAAAGACACAGCTTCCGGTGGCCTCTATTCGCAGCTATTGAGAATGCTCGCAAATCTCGTACGAGTACTTCCTATTGGTGAGGGTGGCACGGCGCCTACCGGCGGGCCACAATACGCCTCACCGGAAAAAAAGAAAGAAGACGCGGGACGGAAGTGGAAATTCCAATCACTGTCCAGCGTACAAGCTATAAGGCAAAGATCCTATAGGCCAGGAACGATATGCCCCTGCGTAGGTATGCATATGTAGTGCCTCTCTCAGCCCGCTCAATTGCATCTTGCGTAACAATAATAATAAGATCTACCAGATTTTAGCGATGTAAGTCCACCTGTGACCGGAGTCTGATCTTTCAGAGTGAATGTATCTGTGAACTGTACGGCGCAATGGACTACAGGGTGAACTTCAACAAGATTTCCTCATGTATTCGCTCAGCTCTCATATAGGCCCACCGCCTCAGATGAGGATTGACACCGAGGGGGTTAACATGATGGGATGGGATGAGACTGATATTCACATAACGCTTCTTTCTACAGTTGTTCGATGTAGTGGTTACATGGCGCAATTTGAAACAACATCATCCAACAGCTGAAATGAGTGGCGAAGAGCTCTCCCTCTGGGCGATCAGTTCAGGGAACTCAGCTTAGCACGGCCCCTTGCATACCCTCGATGTACACTGACAAGCAAATCACAACAGTAGATGTATTGCAGAGCAAGAAGTACTTGGTACAACTTTTAGACTCTTTGGCTTTCCACGTAGTGGCGCAAATGCCGTAGCTCAATCCAACCCCGGAATGCTCACGATGAGTTGTCATCTTACAAACTCATCCACATCAGGGCTTCCGTGTGTAAAAGACGCCATGAAAAGCTTCATTACTATGAAATACTCACGTCATCTGATACAATCGATGCCCAACGGCGAGATATTATATAAGCCTTGCATTTAGCGATGTAGCATTGTGTGGTACATATCGTCGTATGCAGCATGTCATGATCATATTCCATTGACCGAGCACACCATAGCTACCAGGTAACTGGTCATAATTACTCAGTCATTCACAGCCGTCTAGGTGATTGGATGTAGCTCCATGCATGTATTACAATACTACCATTTTTAGGGTGCTTTACTACACAGGTAGGAAAGCAGATCACGTATTTATATGTATAATATGTAGTAGAGAGGTATGGAGTTTAAGATGGCTCAACATTTTGATATTATACCGCAGCGGGCCTTACTCTGGGAAGAATGCCATTTATACAGGAGTTGCGTGATCAACCAAAGGAGGTATACGCTTGGAACCCAAAAAAGGCTGAGGCAGTCATGGAACCGGATTCAGCTACTCCGTCTCTATTTCTAGCCACTTGTTCCAGGTGTTCACTTGTCAATCTCGGATATCATTTTACTTAATCTTGCGCGAGCCGTAACACAGAGATGTCACCAATAGCGCCTAATTGGCCGGCATTCTCATCCGCCACAAGCGTCTCGGACATCGGATAGGACTACTCATATTTTATCTCACAAGGGGTTTGCACCCAGCGGCTGTTCTCTCCCGGGCAAACTGCACGTTGGTATGAGCTCATTTAACATTCCGGTCGGCAGGTAGTTGATTTGACTCTGGTATTTGCGCGGATAGCATCCGTGCCGCTGTGATTAGCCCGCCCCAGGCCAGGGAGGCTGCAATACCTGCTACGCTGATGAAAGTATGTAGGACGGCTCCAGCGCGTTATGAGTGGCCATCACAGATCATGTTCAGCTCCATCAGTGCGCACATTCAAGGATGTAGGCTATAGGGGCTGTCGCCCTGCATAAGGCTACCTGCGTATAAGTGTATGTACATACATGGATCCCCTGCAGTAGCTACTACTAGTAGTACGTGTTTTCCCGGCTTGGTCGTGAGTTCTTACTATCCAATGGATTACTACTTACTGTACTTATAGGCTGTTGTCAGAACTTACATCAGATAGGTATGTGGAGTAGAGCAGCAGTTGCACAGTGGACATGGATAATCCGGAAATTTCATTTGTAACCAAGTTTACCAATCCATTACACCGCTAGGATTCCTACAGGCTGGGTCAAGCTAAGGGCGGCCTGTCTCTGCCCAGTGACACTTTTTGTACTCGAATCGGTGGTTGGATTCAAGACATGCATCAGCCTAATAGTCGCCACGCGTTAAGCGTAATTACATGTGGCTACCTGCGGGATACCGTACAACGCGAGTATATGAAATAGGCAGCAATGATAGGTTTAGGCACTGACTTATGGAAATGAATCATCAGAAACAAATTGTGAATCACCAATACCTTGTCCCAAGTGGGTGGTGATTTGGCTTACAATTCTGCTTATACCCTACCTTACCCTAGAATCCCGAACAAATGCAAATGCAAATGCAAATGCAAATGCAAATGCAAATGCAAATGCAAATGCAAATGCAAATGCAAATGCAAAAAAAAAAAAAAAAAAAAAAAAAAAAAAAAAAAAAAAAAAAAAAAAAAAAAAAAAAAAAAGGCATATATAATGTATATACAAAATACAAAGTAAAGAAAGAGCATAAGAGAAATTCATTGAGTTGCAGTATTTATTTGTTCAATTTTTTGCTTTCTTGGTTGCAACTATCGAGCACATTTGTCGCCTCAACCAAACAGTTGATTTGAGTCGCTCGAAGTAAATCGAGGCAAACCGCATCCAATGGCTGAGACAGCCGCAAAACAAAGTCCAGCTATCCGGTAGCTATGGATGCTGGGAACAAACCACGAGGCACTTGTTTTTGGTTGCATTAAAGAGGATTGTCTGTGCAAGGTTAGCAGTGGGTAGGTGTCAAGTACTTCAAGTTGCACTGCTCAGGTGGCTATCCGACGCCCAAGCGCAGAGTACATAAGAGCTTCAAAACCGGAAGCGGAGGAGCACCGTTTGTTACTACTATTAGGCATTTATTTTGTTCTTTGAGAACATGTATCTACTATTATCATTATTTTCGGCTACTATAGCTCTATATAAATTTCTAGTACTTACTACGAGGTCTATTTTCGTCTAGTATTATGTATTATTGGCAACACGAGATGCTGGACAGCCAAATTACAACAGGTAGGTGATGAATAGGCAGGCATTCCATATTAGCAAGAAAAAGAGAGAGCCTGGGCAGTGCATTGGTGTAACATCCTCCAAAGCATCAGCGTTGCTCTCAGTCAACTGAATATTAGCCTCTATATCAGTTGTTCACGATCCTAGATTTACCTTCACACAGCGCATTGCCTTCATTAATGACATCCCACACTTTCTGGGCATCTCACAATCATCAATGAAGCGCAATTGAACATGCCTCACGTGCCATTTGTATGGTGCATCTTGCCATGCGTTTAGACACCTCTCTACACCGACTACTGTACATAGGATGCACTGGCCATTTTCGCGCAGACATATTCATTGTTCAATACGACTTTTCTACGATGTTCCGTTTGGTTAGCTCATCAAAGACGCAGCCTGCATTCTTCCTAAATGTCTTTGTATGTCAGCTTTGCAGATGCCACCGAAAAGATAGGGTCCGAGTGCCTCTTCAAACTTGCAAACATTTGTATATAGACATTCCGATGACATCCATATGGCTGGTCAAATGATCAGTGATTGTATAGCGTGCATATTTTAGATGCTCAGTTGTGAGTTCTTTGTTACATACTGAAGCGATTTGAAGGATACTATACTCTGTAAACGAGCTATAAGAAGCCATCGTCGCTCAACGATTTGGCACTTTTTACCACATCACGTCTATCCATAAAAAAGCTTCTATACAAATCTATCTACCAGAATCATCAGAATGCAGTTTTCAGGTATTTACCCATATTTTCCCACGCAGCCGCTAAATAACTGACGTAACAAGTTAATCTTCTCGGTCTCTTCGCCTCTCTTGCCGCTGCCAGCGCTGTTCCTATTTCTCAAGACTCTACTTCTGGTGCGGATCTCGGTATACAAAGCGTCTGCTACATGCAATGTGCACTTTGGTACTCATGGTGCCGGACGGAGCCCTATAATTACAGATGTGGCAGAGAGGGGGACTTTGTTCATGACAAGCCAAGCACAGGTTGCGAAAATAGTTGCTGGTGCCTCTGTGATGCTGGCTGCAAGGACCACCTTTGTGAGGCCCCGAATGAGAGCGCTTAATTCAAGAATACGTATTTTGGAAAAGAAAGGCTGTATGATAAAGAAATCTAAACATCATATGCAATCGCTATTTAGCGAATGACTGTGCACCAGCCTTTGAGCTTCTATAGCTTTGGCCTTTTTTAAGTGAATGAAAATATGAGAACCCTCTAAAATTCGTAACAGCATCAAGCTTTGGATTCGACGTTCGTGGGCTCATTTAACGTATGAAGGGACATAGCTTTGGGCTCGT